CCCGTTGGGATAACAGACCCCGCTGCGCCATCTCAAAGCAACTACCCCTCTGCCGCGGCGCCATCCACCGGAAACGGACCCAACCTCACGAGCACTAATACTCTGAGTCGGCCACTCGCGGTCTACAGATTCGTGTTCTTCATAAGCTAAGCCTGACCCGTAGCTTCTAATCCAGCCTGGTCAAACAACAGCGGCGGCGCATCCCTTTCCCGCTATTTTAAAACTGGGTCCGGTCTCTCCCATGCCTTTGATATAACAGAACTTGCGGCGGCTGGCTGTGCCTACAGTCTGACCGCGCGGAGCAATAGCTGGCGTCTGTTACTCACCGCATCGGCCCCCTCCGGGTAACTAGGTGCTCCGCCATTCTGGTGTCCTCCTTCGTCCCGCTGTTGGAGGATGTCCTCCAAGCCTTCTTGGCCTCCGCCGCGCGATTGCTCGCGCTCTGCCATCACTTCGCTGTTACTGGCGACCGATATGCCAGCAACGTCAAATCGCCTTATCTACTTTACTATTGAGCTGGGTCCCGAATACAAAGTAAGTCTCTATTTAAACAATTCAAAATCCCCAACAGACGACGTTCTGACTTGCGCTTGCTTGCACGGTTGACTGGCGAACTAGCGTTGTCTGGATTCAGCGCTTTGTTCCCAGCTAATCTTTGTAACGCACTACCGTATCAGTCACTGTCCTCTGGCCAATTCCGGTCTGCTCCTCCCGCGCCGCACTTGCCGTACTACACTACAGGACGAGGACTTAATCAACATGCAGTACCGAAGAGCGATGAACCCGGTAGTTACGAGATGCGGGTGAACGACCGGCAACACGGGCCGGCAAACAAACGATCGTGCGGTGGCGCGAAGTGCAAAAGCAGTGACGATGGGAAAACAGCTCCAATACGGACCGAGGCAGGATTGAACCATAACTCGATACCATATGAAAGGAACTGGCTCCAGTTGGCGACTGGAGGAAGCATTAGTTCCTAACTTGCCCGATCTGCAGAGCCCGACATCAATCGCTGACTGAGAGACAAGGAAGAGAAGAATACTAAGCTTACAAATAATGGTGTAGGAATGCCTTAAATAGTCTGGCAAAGCCTTGCACGACACAGAGTCGTACCGATCAAAGACAAACCATACGTACTCGGTAACGAACACAAATCCCTTACACAGTGCCTCAATTGCAGTCCAAATATATGGACCTCACAGAACGAATTAATCTATTGCCTGATACTGTTAGACGTCAAATTTTGCAAGCGGTGTGCGGAAACAGCTCTAGTCCGCATACGACGACTCCCCCAGATGCGCGTCCGGTGGCTGTGAATCATGCAAAGGATTTGAGCAGACATGTTGAAGCATTACGCTCAAAGTCTTCTCTTCCGGCACATGGAATCTTGCCGGAAATCCGACTGACGGCAGGCGTCTGCATCGTGGACGACTTCATTCCTCAAAAACATGTCAAGGTACGCATGCATTCTCTCATCTGCTGCGGCCCTTTGGCGTCCCTCCACCGGCCCAAGGGTCGCACCCGACAAGTTGGGGCCGGCACCCACGTTGGGGGCCCCAGGAGCCTTGAATCTCGCCGGCCTCATCACCCGCATGGCCCGCTGCTGCTCGCAACAAATCCCCCACCCGCTCATCCACTCTCGCTTCTTGTCCTTCGAGTTATCACCACCATATGGCGCAGCTCAAGCGAGCTCATCACATAACCGGCACCCAGTTAAAACACCGTACACAAGTAACACACAACCGCATGCACGCTCCCGTCCCTATATACCCTCTGCTCGCAACCCCATCCGCAAAATTCCCGGTCCGCATATCCCCATTTCCACACAGCCCTACAATCCCGCATGCTGCCCAAACGCCGCACGCAGGAGGCGCTAGTATGTGCCCAGCAGGCGCTGTCTGAGGGCGCCCAGCAGGCCGCCATTGGGGGTGCGCTGCCGCTGGCTTCGGCCGGGCGGCAGGTGGACACGGCGGTGGGTCGGTGGTGCGCAGTTCAGCCCCCCCTCTCCCTGCAGGGATGTCCCCACCCTGCTGCTCCTCTCCCTGATGCTTAACAGACGCGTCGTGTTGAGTAATGGTGCTCGCACTTTAGCGGCGCTACGATTGTCGTTGAGACCTCCCCTCCGGGGATGGCGGGAATCTGAGATCATACAGACCGAGATCGGCAAACCCCGCAACACCCCCCAACCCCCGCCCGTAACCGCCATCATCATGATTTATGGCCATCAATCAAAGTCCGCACAGTCCCACATCCCCTTCCAGTACAGCAGTTTGGTGCTCTGGATGTCTGGTGGCAGTTGGCAGTTGGCAGTTGGCTCCATGTCGCCCCCAACCGGCCATCCCACGGGCGGACCTGTCTCCCGCATGCCGCTGTCTCCCAACCCCTCGGCCCCCTCTGCTCCCACCCGCCCCCGCCTGCCTGGCCCACACACCCCTAGTCCCGCGGCGATATCATGCGGTGGCTGCGCCCCTGTGAGGAGGTTTCCTCGGGTAGAGGGCCGCTGGCTGCACTGCTGGAGAGGATGGAGGCGCTGAGGAGCCAGCTGGAGAGACAGGGGTGAGTGGGTAGGGGTGCGGGGGGGGGAGGAGATAAGCGGAGGATTAGGCGACAACGAGAACCCATACATCCTCGCGTTCCCGGCTCTGCGCTATCTGTCTGATCTATCTATCCGTCAGCCTGTCTGTCTGTTTGTCTGTCTGTCCGGCATCGCTTACCGCCGTTTTTGTTCCTGCTCTCCCCACCGACGTTCTCGGACGTTCTTCGGCAGTTCGGCAGTACACTCCACATTGGATTGCTCTCTTCTTCGCGTGAGTCCCCCCTCACCCTCCTCTTCCTCCTCACCCTCCTCTTCCTCCTCACCCTCCTCTTCCTCCTCACCCTCCTCATCCTCCTCACCCTCCTCTTCCTCCTCACCCTCCTCTTCCTCCTCTTCCTCCTCACCCTCCTCACCCTCCTCACCCTCCTCACCCTCCTCTTCCTCCTCACCCTCCTCTTCCTCCTCACCCTCCTCATCCTCCTCACCCTCCTCTTCCTCATCACCCTCCTCTTCCTCCTCTTCCTCCTCACCCTCACGCGTCTCACCCTCCTCACCCGTCTGAACATTGTCCTCAGCTACTCTGTGGGCGGTCGACCCACCTTCCAGCTAGCGAGCTACCCGGGGGGGGGGACCCGCTACGTCCGACATTGCGACGCCTCACTCAGCTGCCCGACACGCACCCTCACAGCCATAGTCTACCTCAACGAACCGTACTGGGAGCCACAGGTCGACGGCGGCTGCCTGACGCTGTACAACGTGCCGTACACGGGGCCTCTCCGCGGCTGCGGCCTGGCGATGGGCGAGCCGGCGACTGTGGTGGCTCCGTTGGGGGGTCGCCTGGTGGTGTTTGAGTCGCACCTTTCCCACGAGGTCCTACCTACGTTCCGGAACAGGTTGTGGGGTTGGTTGGGCAGTTGGTTGGGTTGGTTAGGTGGGGTTTGGGTAGTTTGGTAGGTGGGCAGTTATGAAATTCGGCACGTGTGAGCAGTTTGAAAGTTAGTTGATGTTGCAAGTGCGGTTCTGTGTATGTCCGCCCACAAACATCACAGGGGGATGTCTGCTGCTGATGCTGCTAGTACTACTTTTACGTTTTTGTTACCGCTAGGGCCGCTAGGTTGTTGACGCCGCTTATCCAACGGAACAATCGCTGCGGCTTATTGCTTTCTGTCCTAGCTCCTAGCTCCCTAACGGCATGCCTGAGTTGTAGTTAGGCTTGGCTGCACCCGAACCGCCAGCGGACGTACGTCTGTCGGTATCGTCTTCTGTACGTATGTACGTGCGTAGGTATGAAAACGCACGGGGGCAACATAAGGCCCTGCATCGCTCCTCGTCCTCCCTCCTCATGCACCGCAATCCGCCCTGATGGCAACACAACGCAGTACAACGCAATGCATGGCATTGCACTATGACCGTATCCAGGTACGCGGTAACAGCCTGGTTTCATCAACTACCCCCCCCAACGAGAGCCGCAACCGAGGAGCAGCAGCAACAACCCGTAGCTGCGTCGCCGCCGCCGCGGCCGCCGCTGGCACCGTCATCGCAGGCTGACCAACGGCCTGGGGCTTCGGAGCCAGGCGGCGTGGCACCACTGGGCAGCGATGGCTGCGACACCAGAAGCGGCGGCGGGGGCTGCAGCGGCAGGCCGCACGGGGCTGTCGCGGCGGCACAAGATGACGCTGCTGCTACTGCTACTGCTATCGCTGTTGCGCCGACGACACCGGTAGAGGCGCAGGCGGCTGATCCGGTGATGAAGGGCAGCGAGGAGATGGAGATGACGGCTCCAGAAGAAACAGCAGCTGCGCGCAGTACGGTAGCGGCAATGGAGAAAGAGAAAGAGGTTACCACCGTTACGAATGCTGCTGCTACTGCTACTGCTGCTACTGCTGCTACTACTGCTGCTGCTGCGCTCGTCTTTGTGTCCGTGGCTGCATACCGCGACCCGGAGGGCCCCTGGACGTTGCACAGCTTGTTCAGCCAGGCGGACCATCCGGAGCGAGTGCGGGTGGGCGTCGTGTGGCAGGTGGATGAGATCCAGGGGGGGTTGGGGGTACCTAGGGGGCCGGCAGCACCCCATCAGGGGTTGGGAACACCGACAGAGGGAATGGAAAGAAGGGAGAAAGCTGAGAGGTGAATGATCTCCCCAGCTCCTCCACCTATGCTCTGGCCGTGCAGTGATATGTGCCTCTAGTTGCGACAGACATGCAAACACACGCACAGACACGCGCACACTCCAGCCGCCGGCACTTGCTTCGGTTTAGTTAGTTATTCGTGTACCATCCATTCCTGCTATTTCGTTCGCGCTATTCGGTTCAGGCCAAGAGCTGAAACACACACGTGTCAATCCCTCCTGGGGGGATTACCGCCTTCCACTCGGTGGTACACAGCGTGTCATCTTCGGTGGCGAGCTGGCTGCGTGTCGTGTCATGCCTCCCCCCTTTCTTGTCCCATTTTGGCCCCCTTCCCGGCCTTATCCCTGTCCCGGTCCTCTTCCCACCTTTGCCATCCCTCCGCACCCAGATCGACGCGAACACGGAGTCCTCCTTCGCGGCTGTGGCTGGCTCACGAACACATCCGGACTGGCTGAGCCAGGTGGTGATGTGGGTTGGGGTGGGTCGCAAGGATATATAAAGATGAAGCAGAGCTTGAACTGCATTGTGTGCGTATTTGCTGGGGGGATGATGCAGGCAGTCAGTTCAGGTCAGAAGCCAAGACAAGCCTCCTGCTGCCGAACCCATGCCTCCCTTTGACCGTCCCTCCGTCCCCTCCTGCGTTCGCAACCATACCATGTACAGCTGGTTTTTCGTATTCTACATTGCCGTATCCTGCTTTCCTTCCTCCCCGGGATTGACGCCGGCTTTACCTCTGCAGGTAAGGCAGGTCGTACTGCCGTACCAGGACGCTGAAGGGCCCTGCAAGGCCCGCGCCCTTGCTCAATCGCTGTGGTCAGGGGAGGAGTTCGTACTGCAGCTTGACTCACACATGAGGTACGACATGTGAGATGTGAGACGTGAGGTTCTGCTGGGGGAATAGGAATAGGCTCCAGGGGTAGTGGCCGGGTAGGTAGTTGGGCTGGTTCGTTGGTCGGTCGGTCAGTCTAACTACTACTAAGCATTCCGCTCCCCAATAGCAACGCGGAAGGACCTGGTGGGCCCTCCGGCAACGTCTGCTGGGCTGCAGCAGCAGCAGCTAGGTGAATTTAACAGCGGCACTTAATCGTTTGCTTCTTCCTCCATGGCATGATACCCCCCCCCTGCCCGCCCGCCCGGCCCCAACCGCCGTCAGGATGATTCGCGGCTGGGACACCGCTTGTATACAGCAGCTGGAGGCAGCGGAGAAGATGTCGACCACAGGTGGGACCGTCCTGGTCGCCGCGGGTCGGGGGATAGAGAGGGGGGGTAACGGAGGGAGGGGATGACCTGCAAGGTAATGTGTGTTCCGGGGTTGTTGCGTGCATCTGGGGCAGCGACAGCAGTGGCGGAAGCACCAGCAGCAGCACGTCCTCGTCCCTTACACACCGAGTTGGCGTCGTCCTCCTCCTGCACTCCTCTTCGCCTCCTTCGCCTGCACTCCGTTTCCTGTCTTGCTTGCGACTCTTCTTTCTGTTCTGTTTGTTCGCTCCCTTCTATGCACCCTTCCCAGCTCGTCCCTCCTCCACTTATCATATATATCCCCCACCCCACCCCATTGCCTACCAATCCTTCGACGGCACAAGCACAGGTAAGGCTGTGCTGTCCACCTACCCTTTGGGCTACAGTGGCGCGGGTGCGGCGGCCAGTGTGCCGGACGAGGCCTCCGCACCCGCCACCCTGCTGTGCGCCAACAGCTTTGGACCCGATGGTGGGTGCGTCTATGAAAAACATAGGGTTGCTTTGACCTCGTCCACCCGTTGGATTGTCTCAATATTGTAAATATTTATTGTAATATTATTGTAGATTTACACAGACAACACTGGATTGCCCTGTCCATCACCTGACGCGTAAGATGTACTTTTACTTTCCTCCCGCTGGGTAATCTACGGCATAAGGGTGCTGCGCCTTGTCCTTCATGGACATAGCCAGAACGCGGAGACAAAGCAAACCAGTACGCCTCGCCGTCTTTATTCGAGGTTTGGGGAGTGTCAACCAACAACTAACCAACCAACCTTACAAACTTCTTACTATCCCATTGTACTGCACACACGTCAGGCTTCCTACGTACCATGGGTAGGGTCCTTCGACAGCGACCGGCCGCGCCGCTTCCCACTTACTTTTGGGCCGCTGGACTTAGCTTTACCCGGGCTCGGTGGCTGCAGGTGAGGCAGTGGAGGATTGACCCGTGGGCCGTCCTCCTTTCTTCTCACTTAGCAGGTTTCCCACGACACGATGCGGTGCTTTTCTTCCCTGGACTCTTTTTATCCATCCACTCCAATGTTTAAACCGAGGTTACGTCCTCCTCTCACTTCGAGTGTCTGTCTACGTGTGTGTGTGTACGCCTTGGGAATACCCCATAAACCATCCCCCGATGTACCGTTCCGCGCACCAAAATGGGTTCGGCCACCATCGCCCCTCTCACCCAACACTTCGACGGCATATGCTCCGTTTCGCCGCGCAACTTCCTCGACTACAGGAGGTGCCGTACTGTCTGCACCTGCCGCACCTGTTTTTCGGCGAGGAGTCCTACATGCTGGCCCGTATGTGGACCCGGGGCTGGGACGTGTTCGCTCCAGCTGTACCGCTGGCGTTCCACCAGTGGGAGAGGTCAGCCCGTCAACACACATATCAACGAGACTTGATGGGGGGCAGGGGGCAAGTGTCGAAAGGCCGTCAACAGGGCCAGGGCCAGGGAACGGAGGCGCGGGAACGGCACGAGCAGGAGGAGAAGGGAGAACAAGTGGAGCAGGTGCAGGCGGGTGGTGCAGTCTTGGGTTCGGCAAGGAGTGATAGGGAGAGTGAAAGCGGCGAGGACTGGGTTGTGACGGCAGGTGCACCGGGAAACGGCACAGCGGCCGCTACGACTGCAGCTTGCCCTCGGCTTTTGGCTGCCACATCCGAGGCGGCTGCCGCAGCAGCACGTCAGCGTAGCCAGTCCCGTGTGTTGTACGTGCTGCGGTCCGGCGCCAAGGCCTCGCCTACTGCTGCCGCTTCGGCATTGGCGGCGGATGCCTTAGTGGGAGTGGCCGATGGCACCACCCTTCATGGGGTAGGGTTAAAAGCTTTTGACGTGGCCGCGGCGATAGCAAGCAGCGGTCGGAGGGATGTGGGAGGCGAGGGCGATAGCAAGGATGGGTGGGCGGTGGGGCAGGTGTGGGGCTTGGGGACGGAGCGGTCGCTTGCAGAGCTGGCGGAGGCTAGTGGAGTGGATTATACTGCTAGGGTTGTGTCGGCACGTGCAAAATGGGGTGGCTTATCGGAGAGCGCGTTCCAGGCATGAAGAGGCGATGATGACTTTGCCGTAAAACATGTGGGACTTATCGTATTTCTCCGCGCGTTCACGAAGGTACCTTACTAATCCAGCGGGCTTGTCAGCGTCTAAAAAGGTCAGGATTTGCTGCCGGCCGCGGAAGACTGCTGGCCGGTATGTTGTATGCGGCCGCGCCGCCACATGCGACCTTGCTGATAAGGCAGCAGCGAGAAACGTGTGTACAAACGTATACTATTTTTGCCAGCATGTGGTGGTTCTCTCCTTCCCCTTATCTTGCGGGGTTCCCTCCCCTGCGTGAGCGCCTCCAGCGACTGGACAATTGAGAAAGGCGGTACAGGGAAACGGCATCCTGGTGTAGTCTTAATGACGGCACCTAGAACGATAAAAGTTTGGTACCAACCCGACCGTTACTGCACATTGGATTCACCTTTCCACAAAACAGAACAGCACAACACAGTTCCCGAATCTGAACGCAACGTTTTATCAAGCAGTCAAGGCAAGGCAAGGCCTGTTCTCCTGCGTGTTACATCTGTGAAGTTACTTGCAAGTTGCTCTCTTCGGTACGTTCACCGTCGGGCTCCCAGGACGGGTACCGGCACTCTCCACCATGGATAGAAAACACACACGGCGCTAACAGGGTAGTCCTACTGTACCAGCTTACGGGCCGTCTTCCTCAGGTGTCTGAGTCGGTCCATGCCGCTTCTCCCTGCGCTGCACTGAACAACATGGCCGAGCAGGGGGTGCGACCGTGCCCCAACCGGCCTTTCGCACTATAGAGCCGCTGCGCCTCACCACCGCAACCACGACCTATATAGCAGAGCCTATTGCCTTCTGACTAACCCGAAGCGCATCCCGCCAGCTGAGAACGTTCACTCTGTTCGCAGCTCAGTAATGTGTGTGCTTCCACTTGATAAGCTTCTCGATGACATCCTTGGGGACGTCCACCTTAGCAAGTATCTGCTTCAACGCCGACATCTCCGCGGCCTTAACGCCCTCCGCTGCGTGCTTGTCCGCAATGTCCGACTGCTCCTTGACCTGCAATCACGATAGCCGAAGTCAACTCACGCAGCCTAGTGCGCAGCGCCAACGCGTGTCGTGAATTGTTCCGACATCGGCCCAAAGACCGGTGCACGTATTGCAAATGAAGCAAAGCATACAAGCGATAAAATACATGCCGCTTTCCCAGGTTGCGCATGGCGACGGGCTGATCGCGTTGTAGTTTCGCCACAACCCATACAAACCAGCAATAATTGTATTCAAACATTTCCTACTGTTAAAGTTGCTTCAAAGAGCCACGCCTCAGTACCTTGACGAGAAGCTTTGCCATGAGACGCTGGTCCTCTTTGGTGAAGTAGAGGTCTTCAATCGCTTTCTCACCCTCAGCAAACTTGGTGCCCTCCAACGCCATGCCGCGCGAGAGGGCCGGTGGCCGCACCGCTAGCCGGCTGACGTTCTGAGCGACACAACGAAGCATTTTCAGCACTTCGTCCTCACAAAATGTAGCCTACAAAAATCAGTTCAAATGCTGTGAGCAACTGAGGATATGCGGTTGACCTGTTTCTCTACTGCATTGCGACAGGTTGCGATGCGACAGTTATAATGGTCGTCAATGAGGGATCCCGGAACATCCCATGAAATGTACCTAAAGTTACACAACGCTAACCACCGTACTCTTTGCCACCGGTCCTCATACTTTTGTATTTGCCAAATGTTGCCTTGCAGTGCGCCGGCGTCGCAATCCCCCAAGTCCGCAAGCTGTCCGCAAGCAATAACAACAGATTGTTGCTGGTCTCACAAAACACTAGCATTATACCATAAACCGAATACATCGCAACACAATTCGTTGCATTTCAGGGCGTCAGCGCACAGGACATACGCAGCGACCCTTGGTTCGCCCTGCGGCTTGGTATTTTGGTAGTTCCTTTTGTATGGAACACCAGGCAGGTTTTTGAGGAGATAAGCTTCGAGCTAAGTCGGCCATGACGCACCAAACGGTGACTACGTGCGTGCCCACTGAATACGGAAAAAGGCTGGGATCTTGCTAATTTTCAATAACGCACCATGAATTCCGCTCTGACGTTCCAATCCTTGCAATTTTACTGGGCCTGAACAAATCCTTTACTCCTCGTCGCCTGCAAAAGGCCATCAACAAACCTGTAATCCACTGTACTCTTGGCAATCTATCCTCCATTTTATGTGAACCTTCTTTTGAGTTTCTACGTTGTAGCATACTGATTGACTCTAGGTGGGCGGGCAATGGTACGGCTTATATACTGCTGACTGACATCGTTTAAACGCAGTATACATCGTTACTAAAGGTTATACATTTTGTGGCAGTCTACGTGTGTGAGAGAATACGTGAGAACATTATAGTGAGCCAAACAATTGAACTCGATCATTGAGTGGCCCAACCAGTCAGCAAGAGCGCATTGTTCGACCTTTTTAGTTTCTCATCAGAGATTGTCCCTATTGGTCTAGACCCACGAGCTAGGCACGGGCACTAAAGCACCACTCTTTCTGTCTGACACACTTTTGAACAATAAAGAGTCGCTTGCTGGAGGACTTTTGATAACGTTTTCCAGTTGAGGCCCAGTGATGGGCCGCTTGCGTGTGGCCTCCCGCGTGGGCCGGGATGTGCGGGCGACAAGAAGCTCATTTCGCGATAGGTCGCGCTCCAACTCACCATCACGCTGCACACAGTCGACGCTGCGCGTCATCTTCAACAGATTAGTATCATACCGGGTCTACGCGCTGCTTGGCGCCACCTTGCTGGTGCTGCTGTGTCTGACATGGCCGCGCGCCGGGGACCACCTGACGGCACGACCCAAGCACATCGTCGACGACCTGCGCAACACGGAGGGTTGGAAGGGAAATGACGGATCTGCCAATAATGAAAACTCTCACAGGAAGAACTTGGAACACACGTCCGCGTCGACACCGGGGCTGCCGACGCCCTCCCTAGCCAGACGTGTTCGCGAAGAATTCGTGCACCTGGAGCAGGACCTGCAGCGCATCTTAAAGAACCGCTTCTCGCCGTCACGCGATGATCTAGCGCAGCTTTTGCAGACCCTGCCGCCTAAATCGCAGACCCTCCGTTTCAAGGTGTGCAACGGGTTCGCCAACCAGCGTCTCTCCATTGTGTACGGTGTACTGCTGGCGCAGCGGCTTGGGCGTACCCCCGTACTGCCGGTACTATTACGTGACGGCATTCAGCGCACCGATGCCACCGTCATCGCGCACGGTGCTAACAAGGTACCGTTTGAGGATGTGTACGATTTGACGTTCTTCCTGTACGAGCTGGCCAAGGCCGGAATCCGCATACTGGAGCCGCACGGTGCGTCGCGGCGGATGGGGAATGGGTTGTCTTAAGGTGGTTGCGGGGCCTGTCCAGACCACTTGATCCCGATCTGGGTCAGGGTCGGGTGCCTGATCATGGATTGCGATGTGGGTCACCACACAATCACCTGGCCGTGACTCGGTTGGAGTTGGGATTCCCCCTCTCTCCTTACCTTTAGAGAGTGGGTGGTTATCCGCCCGAGGATTGCGACCATGCCAGAGGGAGGACCTGCCCCCTCGTTCATGGGTGGCTATCCAACCCGCGCCGGGTGGCCACGACGGTGTGAACCCAAAGCAGCAGCCGGGCAGCTTAGATGCCTATTTAAGCTTTAGCGGGGCCCTCCATCCACACCAACTGCAGCTGCAGCTCCCACACCTACCCGCCCAGAAAGTCCGTGCAGCTTAGTAAGGCCCCTACCTATCCGATGGGTAAACGGCATCAGCAGGCACTTGCTAGGCACCTGGACAAGCCAGGATGTCTAGTTGCTTTTTGCACACATTAGCGTGCGGGGCCTACAGGACCCTGTCTGCAAAGGGTTCCGCAGCCACACTCCCACCCGCAAAGGTTCCGCAGCCACACTCCCACCTGGAGGGGAACTTTACGTTGCGATTAAAAGCTGCTGAGTGCGGCACTCGTGCGACTGCGAGCGTGCGTTGTTTAGCGGGCGCGGATGTATATCTACACACCATCGTTGCATGAGTGGGTGTTTACTGCTTACCTGCTTCCTGTCTGTAGCGGCAGCAGGTAGATACACTGCACATATTCACTTGTGTCAGGCAGCAGGCAGGTATCGTCGGCAGGTTGCCAAAGCAGGGAGCACTGGGAGAGCAGGGCGCGATGTGGGTCTGGATCAGTCGTCGATACCGGGGTTGCAGAGCCCCAGTGGCAGGGCAAGGCGCCGCTCCCGCCGCTGGTGGTGGCTGCATCGCCTACCAGGCCATTTAAACCATTTACACAATCCCCCTCGTATTGTAGTGCTCGCATGAGCCCCTATGTTAGTTTGAGCGTCGATACATGCGATAAACCAGCCAGTCGCTGGTGGTTGGATTAGCTATCGCCATCTCCATCTGGCCATTGGTCTTCCTGTGTGCATGCTGTCTGCGTATTATGCGCCTGCGATAGCTGATGGGTCGCATTTTTGGCTGCACCCTTTGCCCACTTGGACTTCTGCATCACTTGACTTTCCATCAGGTTCGTGTTTCCATCTCCCCTCCCATGTCCCAACGTCTGTGTTGCTTGCCCTGACCCTAACATCTCCTTCCCCACGACACACAGCTCGCAGTTATAATTTCCACTTCTTGCATAAAAGTCCTCCCCTTCTCCTCCATCCCTCCCGCACACCCACACCCTCACCCATACACCTGCCTCAGAGGTTCCGCGGCCCAGCGCCTACACGGAGGTGGCCCTGAGCTCCGTGGGCGCAAATGTGTCAGGTGCCCTGTCCACCACGTACGGCCACCTGCAGCACCTCTCCATAGACTGTCCGCTGTTCAAGATGACGCCTGGGGAGATGAATCAGCGGCAGGATGAGCCTGTCATATGGGGCGTGTTGGATGCCTTGAGGCCGGCTTCACAGGTAGGTGGGCGAATGGGTGGGGTAGGGGTGGATGGATGGAATCCTGTCCAGAATACAAAACTGGGAGGCCGGGTGGCTGGCTGGCTGGCTGGCCGGGTGTCAAACACCTTCGACAAACGATAGCTATGGACCATAGATAGTCCACTGCCGACGTCCCAAGCAAACGAAGGGCTTTTAAAAAATGCGCCTGGTGGCAAAGCGCTGTTGGTCTCATTGCAGACAGACTCAGACAAAGCAGGCAGACACAATGACAGGCAGGCAGCCAGGAGATGCCCATGGAAGCCTCCCCAGCCGCCGCCAGCCAGGCAAGCATTGACGCCCAAACATGTGGTGGTTTCTCGGCACAAGGCGTAGGCAGTAACGGCGCAGTGCACATGCATGCGTGCGTACGGCCCAACACCCCCCGATTAAGTCCTCTCTCAGGCTTGCCCGGTGTAAAATCCCCCCACCGCCCCTCCCTCGCGGTATGTTAGCCCCATCGTCCTCTACTGCCTCGACCTGCCAGGAAATACCCTACCAGTCCGCCCCTTGCCTCTGTGTGCTCCTCCTCGCGCACAGCTCTCTACGCCTGCCTTGAGGCCGTTTCCCTCTACTGTCAGAGTCCTCTGGTCTCCTTTCCCTATTCCCTCTTTGTGCCCTGTTCCCATTCATCCTCCATTGATATTTGCATCTTGCAAATGACTGATGGACTCCCCGTGGGTACTCTTACAATTTTTTGAATGATCACCCTCACTCCCCTCGCAGCCGTACGCGTATGTGGACAGCATGCAGCGGGGCATCAAGCACTTGGGCGCGGTGAAGGGCAAGGCGGCCACCAAGTACAACTTCCTGCACCTGCGACTTGAGAACGACTGGGTGGAGCACTGCAAGTGAGAACATTACTTAGAAGGACGGAACAGAACAGAGCAACGCGGCTATCGTGCCTCCCCTCCATGGTGTTGATTCCCCCCTCCCCTTCCTCCTCCTCGAGGAAGTTGGGGGCCCCTTTGCCCAGAGGCAGCTAGGCTCAGGGCGCAATTGCTGCTGGGCGCAGGGTTGTTGGGTGGGAAGAAAAGATTTGCCTAAAGCTCGTCCCCCGTCTCACTGCCCCGCCCTGTCTTGCCCTCCTCTCCCAACCCATCCGTCAAAACCTGCCCATCAGGCGGTGGACCAGCATTCCCGACGGCGTTGTTCGTGACAACTGCTACAACAACACGGAGACCATCGATGTGCAGCTGCGGCTGTTCGCATTCAGCCCCGATGTGCCGCTCTACGTGGCGTCATACTGGAACGATGTGGAGCCGGAGCGGGCAAAGAAGGTGGGGGACATGGCGCGGAGGGAATGGTGGGGATCAGCCCGTTTTGGGTCCATGATGCCTCGGGCGGGTGGCTGGGTGGGGTGTCAGCGGTCGGTGACGGGCTGTTCGACGGGGGGTTGCTCGTGATGCCAACGTGTACATGTATGCGTGCCTTCCCCCCTGCGTGAACTCGTCCCTCCGCCCATGCATCTCTCTCACCCTACCTACCTGTCTACCTCTTCAGGTAATTAGCAGGTTAGTGGATGCGGGCTACCGGGTCATCACCTCCAACGACGTCTTCCCGGAGGCTATGAGGAACGCAGACAGGGAGATAAAGGCATTGGTGGAGTACTATGTGGGCTTCGGAGCGAGCAGGTATCCCGAACAGCCGGAGGATTTGGGGGGAACGGAGGGGAAGATGTTCCCGCTTGGTGGGGGGAGAGGGGGAGGTGCGAGGCGAGAGAGGCTGCTGTGGCATTAGGGAAGGAGCGGGGGCGGGGAGGAGGGCTGCAGAGAAGTGCAGGAGGTCACGCGTTTGCATCTTGACGCGTCGTCATCGTCGTCGTCAGGGTTTGCTTGGGCTCTTAAAACATCATCTTGACTTAGTCGCGTATCTGGCTTCGGCTGTTTTTCCCTGTCCTACCGCGTCTGACCGCTCTTCCCTCGGTCAAAGTGCTCGTGCGTCCTCCGCGTCATTTCCTCCTTTCGGCTGAATTCACCAACATACATGCACGTACATGCACATACATACCAACATACATACCAAACATACATGCATGCACACACGCACGCCTCTCCATCCCTCCACAGGTTCATTGGCAACAGTGTGTCCACGTTTGCGGCTCTGGCCCTCCTGGAGCGGAGACATCGGGACCTCTGGGCCGCCTATTACAACGGGGGGAACATACCGGTGGCGCCGTACTTGCCTGTACACAAGCTACCTTGGGTTTTCACGTACAACAGCTGGAGCGGCAAGTACGACTACATGCTCAAGGCTGCGGTCAGGTGGGGGCCTTGCAGGGGCCCCGGGGCACGGAGGGATACACCACTCCAGGGTTGAACGATAATGGGCTGGTTTGCATGTCTGACATAGCCTTTTATAAAAAAGACATTAGCGCGAGAGCTGAAGCTGTGGTTCAAGTTGAGGTCAAGCTAAAACTCCCACACAAAAAGCAGATACACAAAATTAAAACATTCAAACAGCAAAAAGGTAAAGAACAATGCAACGCCTCGGTGCGCACGCAGGTCCGCGGCGCACTTTGACTCGTTGAAGCCGTACTGCATCTTTGACGGCAACACCAGCTCCCTCATCGGTCGCTGGTTGGTTGACAATAATGTGACTCTGATCCGCCACGTTCCCAGCTGGCGGGAGGAGCTGCTCAAGAAGGCCGAGTCCAGGATGAAGGTGGGTGGGGATGAAATGTGCATGCATGTGTGTGTATGCTAGGCGTGGGGAGAGCGTGTGGGGTTTAAAGTGTGCTTGTTAATTATTTGGAGGAGGTGGGCCGTACCAGTTACCGCACAGGCGGACATTGCGCCTTCAGAGTTGTGGCTGCCAGACGGCGTGTGGGCGTTGGGGTCTTTTTCGGAAGCAGCCCGCTTATTTAAGGGGAAGAAGGGAAATGGCGTCTGACGTTGGGCTTGAAGAGGAAGGAAAAAAAGAAACCCGGTACCCCGGTCGCCTTGTGAACCCCTAGGGGTCCTTCGGGGACATGATTGGGGGTGACGGGGGACATTATTGTTGCGGTATCCGGAAAACTGCGGAAGCCTTGAGGACGGCTGCTGGCGCGACTCTTGAGCTTCTGACTCCCGCAACGTCCGCCCCGCCCCGGCCCCGCCTAAACTTTGGATGTTGAGCCCCTTCCCTCCCTCCCTCCCTTCCTTCCCTCCCTCCCTCCATTGTCGTCTCTGCCTCATCATTTTCGCCATTTGAGAACAATTCGTTTGTCTTATGTCGCGGTCTTTTTCCTTTCTTTCACCCTCCTCCCCGTTCTCCCCCTCCCCGCCCCTCTTCTCCTAACAGGACAACGTGCAGCATTCCCACCTGTACAAGAACCCCGACATGCTGGTGTCCACATTCCAAAGAGTGGATCTGCCTGTCGTACCCATCCTGGACCAGTACACGTACGTGCTGTACACGGATGCTGACGTGTACTTTAGGAGGCCCATTCATCTGGACGACTTTGGTGGGTGTGGTGCCTGGGTGCGCGAAGCTCAAGGTGTAAATAAGCACCATGTACAAATATGCATTGGTGTACACCTCCCCTTGCGATAGCGCCTGCATCACCTCCTGCGGCCGCCACCTCCCGTGAAGGGATCCTCGTGCCCAGATCTTCCTGCTCTCATTCTCCCAACCGTCATCCCCGCCGCATCCCAACTCGTCCTAACGCACATACCCTGCTTATTGTCTTTGCACATGATTCCTCCTCTTCCTCTGATCTGCAGGCCTGCCGCTGCCCCGCTCCGTGTCCATGTCGTACGAGTTTTACAAGATGTTCCCGTACAACGCTGGCATTATCATGGCCAACTTGCCCACCATGCGCCGCAATTACAAGGCCTTCCTCGCCATGATGCTGGACAACGATGACGGGCTCTACTACCCCAACTACGGACCTGCGGATCAGGGCATCATCAACAAGGTACTGACATATCACCACCGCACTGCGGTGTACGATTAGCTTGTTTTAGGTATCCATTGCGCACAACTACACATGACTGAAGTCAAATGCACGTCTTTAATAACAGAAGAAAACACCAGAAGGAAGGTTTCGACTGCCGTTAATGCCTTTTCGTACCTTACATTTTTGGTGGTGGGTGTCTTCCTGTGAATCTTACTTTTCACAGAATGCAGCCCACGGAGTTATGGTGGTGGTTGCTTTTCCTTAATTTGCTTTCGCAACAACAACTATAAGGTTATATGTAGCATCGCAGAGGAGTGCGCACCTCAGAGGCAGACCCCCGTAACGGCGCCATATGCTTTGCCCCGTGTTACAACAGCCGTACTTCGTACTGTCGTACCACTGCCCCAGTGAGGGTATGTCTTTGTCACTGCTGCGCGCCTGAGGGGGAAGTGGGGAAGGACTGCGGGAAGGGAGGCGGGTTCGTGAGCGAAGGTGTGGTTGTACAATATCAGGGGGGCATCAAAGCTTGATTGATGGCGCTTCAGAGCGTCCAAAGAGCGCCTTCCGTTGGAGGTGTGAAAAGCCTCCGGCGCCTCGGCGCTCGTCCATGCGGCAAGGCCGGCGCCACATCTGTTGTAGCCCTCGTCCCGCACGTTTCCACAACGGAGTTCCCCCCTGCAGCTGCCTGGGTGGGCGGCTCTCCGTGTAACGGGGAGGACGGGGGAGAGCTGTGTGAGCCTCTTTGCTGTCCTCCCCCCACCTTCCGATAGCCCTTCTGCGACTGCTTTGGCCAGGCAGGCTGTGTGATGGCGGCATGGCGTGTGTACCTTGTCCCGGCAGCGGCATATTGACGGGGCCGTGTGTGCACCCACATGCGTCTGTGCATGCCTGCACGTCCGGGGATGCGGCGGGGCGAATGACGGAGGAGCTGCGCTTCTGGCTATCTCGCATGCAAATCCAACTCCTTCGCTGCTTAAATCAACACTTATACTTGGTTGGGAGCGCGTTCGCCAATCAGTCTATGTTTTTTCCCCAAAAACTTCCCTACCTTGCGCCGGACCGTAACACACAAACAGCCAAACACACCTGTTCCTTAGTGCTCGTTACGTTTACCACCACCTAGTGCCTGCTACCAGCCTCCAACCCCCAACCGCCAATACATCCTCGTCCCCCCGACCGCCTTGCAGTTTTACGAGCACGACCTGCGCAGCCAGATGTTGAACCAAGCCTTCAACACGAAGCCGTACAACGACTTTGATCCCAACTCCTTCCTGGTCCATTTTCACGGCCCCAAGCCCCATGAGTATCTGAGCTTCGTGGAAACCGGCAAATGCGACTTCTACTCCGTCTGCGAGCAGGGCTTCCTGAAGTGAGTGTGCAGCAACAGCAACAGCACGTGTGTGCCCAGCTTGAGGGGTTGGGTTGGGATGGAATGGGTTTTGCGAGAAAGCCGGGGGAAGGTCTTCGTACGATTTCGGCCCAATCTTTACCCGTGCGCCTTTTCCCCTGGATTGCCAGGTCCCCGCAACCCCGTTCCTCTCGATGTTTACACCCGCCAAGACGCCTTCTTTTTAACCCCCTGCCTCACCTCAGCTCCGCCGCGTTCTTCCCAGACGTGTCTCCCTTCCACCCTCCCTGGCTCTTCCTATCCACCCTTATTCCCCTTCTGGGATTCATTTCCGAGGAATCTCGTCGTTTGCGCGCTCTTATGAGTAACTTGTCTGGTTTCGGATGCATTTCCCCCTTCATCCCTAAACCCATTCCCGCTTCCCTCACCTCTCCACGCCGCGAATCAGGTCACTTTGTCAGTACGTGCAGGAGTGGCAGGTGTACATCCCCGAGGAAACCAACATGATGCGCCTCGGGGATTCCTGCACCTGGCTCACCAACCCCACCATCATGGCCGTCTTCCAGAAGAAGACCGGCCTGCTGGCGCAGAACCAGGCGGTGCCTGATGACAAGCGCCTGGAGTTTACACAGAAGCAACGGTTGTAAGTGTAAACCAAGGGCACCTGGGTGCAGAGCTGGCCGCCAGAAGGGAGCTATGCTGTGGTTCCGATGGCTACGGCGGCAGCGGCCAGCAGACTTTGCAGGGATGAGCGAATGGATCCAGACCCTGCATCTGGAGAGGTGTTGCTGTTGTTCCATGTGGGGGTGGGCGGTTTGCGCTTAGTATGTGTGTTGCCGATGTAAGGGCCCTTGGCGGGGACTACGAATGGCGGTGGCAGCAGCGGCGGACATCCCGCTAGCACAGCTCTGCAATTCTGGTACAGTGACTTCCAGTGACCTTACAAATGGTTATAATGCTCGATTTACGTTGGCTCTACTGCGGGGACTTTGCTCTGCGGGGAGCTTGCTGCAGAGCGAGGAGGGTAGGGGACTTCGGACATAACGCAGCATACCTGGAGGTTATAGAAACGCGCGGCAGGCGGCATGTTGGGCTTTATTGGGCTTTAGATAAATATAATAACATGGCGCGCGAGAGCAAGAGGCGGAGAGGAGTACCGAGGCCCCAAGCGCAGCGGAGTGAGAAAACGGCGGATGCACAATATTTGTGCGTGTGGGTGGGTGTATAGGTTAGGGGAGGGGAGGCCGCGTGCGTCTTCTATCGTCCTTTAGACATGTGTTTCCTTAAGATCGGGGGGGGGGTCTTAGCTTTGTCCCAGCCCACGGCTTCTATCTACGCGAAGACCACAAGTGGTTACTCTTCTCTGCGCGACCGCATCTGGATGTTGGCAGGGCGTTGAGCATCAGCATTATCACCGTCACCATCATATGCTGCACCGCAGCCTGCAAGAGGCTGGTCATGCAGCTTGCATGCAAGCGGCAGGTGCGTTCTCCCTCTGCCCGACTTGTCCTCCATCCTGGTTATGCACCTGCATAGGAAGCCCGTGTGCACTTTGGGAAAACCATCGAAGAGGAATAGAGTAATGCAGGGCTGGTGTCAGGGCCGCGTGCGTAAGTTAGCGTGCGGAGGGAGGGGGTTACAGGGCAGGCAGGTTGGTGAGGGAGAGGGGCCCTTTTGACGCTGTGGTAGCACAGCTGGTCTAGTGCCGTACATGCGCAGCATATAGGCCGCAAGGCTGTTCAGCCATGGTTTTCTCGGGGCTCCTGGGGCGCTGGTAAGGTTGCTTTTTGCCGGGCCCATAACCGCCGGTTAGGTCGTGTTGGGTCGAATGAGCTGGCGGCTGTGTAGGTGAGCATGTGGGTTCTTTCTAGGGTGTTCCATGAGAAGATTTTGCTTAAGTTAATGGAGAAGGGAGAGAGAGAGGCGGTTCTGACAGGGGAGCATGTCAGATGCCAACCAGGCATTCCATGCCTTTTGCGTGTGCACGTGCAAACCGTTCCGTGCTCATTGTACGATCGTGATGGCAGTGCATTGCGACTGGTTACGTAGGATGAGTTTGGTGACGGCGCGCGCGTACGTATATTTAAGTGCTATGCAGCCATAATGTTACGGGATATGAACGGGGCGGGATATGAACGCGTAGGGAAGTATGCGCGTTTTTGCTTACGCGGGCATTTCGGGCCTATGGACACGAACACCCGCATCTGGGATATAGGGGTCTGGCATGTGCCCGTCTGTGCCGGTCCCGGGGTACGACACCTGGGGCGTCGTGTTTGGATGGATGGGTATATTGCTGCACGCGAACCCTCGGCGTTCTTGGAACTGAGACTTGATGTGGCCCTGGGAAGGAGGAGAGGACCAGAACAATTGCTTTACCGGACCGTGGACCAACGACCTCCAGTATTCCAACGACGTCCAGTTTGCGTGTTTGCCAGGTCCTCGGCGATTCGTGACTCTTGCTTTTCCATGCGAATGTAGCCCAACGCAAGGGAAGTCCGACCGGCCGTACTACACCCGGGTTGAAGTTCGAAATAGCGCTGCTTCTGCAGCCATTCAGAGCTCGCTGCGGGTCTGGTGGGGCGGGGTCTCGGTAGCTTTTCCTTGTCCCTTTTCATCTTCGGACGTACATGTCTCCTTTTTTGGCGTTGTAGTAATCTGTGTGCGTGTATCGAGCTTTATGCTTTGCCAGGTCTTGTGCTTCGTGAGTGCGGGTTCTCGTGCTTTCTCTTTCTGCGTAATCTATAGGAGCTTCTGGTTTGGAGGTCGGGAATGGAAAGGAACATGCAGCCTGACTGGCGATGGAAGAACTGAATGCGTGCAGGGGGCAATGCGGAGGGCCGCAGGTAAGTGGAGAGCAAGGGGCGGAGGGTATAGTAGGGACCTCCAGTACAGTAGTGAAAGGTGAAACAGTGCCGCTCCGTAGGCAACGGAGTTTGCAGTGGTCTGCGTGCGCCAATTGCGTTCCGTAGGCTGTAGGTGTATCATTCTTTTCCCACACGCTATTAAGACGTGCATTGGGAAGGCTGCTTTAGTGCAGTCGTGCATTTTTCAGGGTTTGCTAATCATAGCTTTCTTGTCTTTCTTGTCTGAGGGGTCAGGCGGCTTGTGCGATAGCGTTCGGCTTCGGTGATTGTGATGTGTATGTGACCGGTGAGGTCTCCCCGCTCTTTGTCACCTTGAGATTGTTATCAAGTTAAAAACCGCAATGCCTGGCTGGGTTCAAACTATGCATTGTCTCAATTTATGTGGGTCTCGAGTGCAGGGCAAGCAGCTGACGGTTGCGATGAAAGCCGACACTAAAGCAAGTCATACCTCGATCACAGTTGGAATGACAGTTCGTCGTGCGGTTACATCATAGCCTTACCACCCACGGCCGACATGACTTAATCTGACGACCTGACACTGCTCATAAGGATTCCAAGGGGCCTAACGCAGCTTTACAAATAGTGATAAATAAAGAACCTATATGAGAACAATTATGGTGTGCACAGCAATGATACCCAGGTGTATTTCCTCGCCGAGCGCGCCTCATCAACTTCCGTATTCTACGTCCCGTTATCCTAATCACTCAGCCGCCATATTACCTCCCCACAGCGCCCCTAGTTCCCGTGTCCACACAAATCCCGGCGCCGATCCTGGCCCCGCCATAGCTGCTACCGAATCATCCTCACAACCCGCAGCTCCCGCCCCCTGCGCCGGAGCCGCCCCCGCTGCCTCCGAGGCGGTCACGGCCGCCGCAAGCATTGATGCCGTGATGGGTGCTGTACGCGCCAGTCTCTGAAAAAGGATCTTGGAGAAGCTGTCCGCCCGGCCACGGCGCTGGTTGGCTGGTCCCTCGTAGTGCAGGTCAGCGCCCGCGGGGCGGCCCTCGTGGAACGTGATGCCACCCTGAGGCCGCCGTCGTTAAGTTGGAAAAGGGGTTGAAAGTCAAAATATGGTAGGTCCTCATCTAATGTTTAGACTCTAAATGTTTAGGAAACTCTTCGAGAAGCTCAATAACAACTTTGAAGATCAACTTTACAACTTCACATGACTGATTTCGTTTTCCAACGTACGACAATTTAACACGTACGGCATCAATATGTATTTCAGATAAAAAAACACTTTGCTTGACGAAATGATGACCATTGGACCTGTCTAATATCGTTTACGTAACCTAGGCATGTCACGGACCCTTGGGTCAGTGTCCTAGGCCCGTCTTACTTCCGCTTATGCACGTACCCCTTTCGGGGTTCACCCAATAACTCAATAACAATAATCCAAATCCAACGCTAACGTAAATGAAATGAAGCACTCCGGAGACGGAATGAGCGTGAATGGGGTCATCAGAGACGAATCTCGGTTGGGATAGGATAGGGTTGGGGATTGGGAAACAGGAGCACCTTCCCATACGTTCCACTGCGGCAGCAATTCCCCCATCCCAAACGCCACTGTTTGCACAACAACAACGGAGACAGAGATACGACCCACCATCATTTGTTAGTGGGCCGAATTGCCACGGTTCCGAAACCCCTTCTGGAACTACTGAACTCAACCGCCCACCAGCAAAGCCCCCCAAACGAAGTGCCTGGGGCCGTGTAACACAATACACGAACGACACGCTAATACGACTCGCCGTATACAATCATGCAGTCGACCGGCATCCTTCCCAATTTTCCCTTTTCGTTCCTGCCCCTGCACACCCTGCTCACCTGCCGGATGGAGAACCGCAGCAGCCGACCCGGCTTGAGCTTGTCCCCCATAGCAGCCACAAACGCCTCCGGCAAACGACCCAGCACCACCGGCGGGTCGTCCTCGGTGGCTACTGTACGATCCGCACGGTACGACAGAGTGACGGCCTGGAGAGGGTGCGTGGGTGGGAGAACGAGGGGGATTACAGGGTAATACTAAAAAGCTCCTGCAGCGCAGTAAGAGAAAGAACGGATACAAGCAGAACCCAGGAAATGCAGGCAGGAACGGTGACCCAGAGGGGCTTTGGATTGCTGATGCCGCCATTCCATTCCTCCGGTTCGGGTCGCAGAGCCCCTTGTCGCGGGGTACGGTGCTCTCCGCCGTGTTCCCACCTACCTACCTGCCTACTGAGGGCTCCCACCCCCCATCCCCCACCCTCGGGGCGCTCCCACGTTTACCTGGTGCTGCAGCGGCTGGCCCGTAGAGTCCGTGTCCAGAAGGTACCTGCAGTACAATCCGCGAATCCATCTCGAGGTCTGTAGCAATGTACACTTGTACAACCCGCTACTGCGGTTTTTCCAGGAAGAGACGTACGCAGGGTCACACGCGGGAGTGCCGGGGCGGGAAAACAACGCAAAACGGGGCGTGTGTGTGTGTGTGTGTGTGTGTGTGTGTACCCGCACTCCATCAGCGCGTGAGATGATGGTGGCATGGGGAAGCGGAAGCTTGCGAGGGAGGGGGGTTTCCCCCCTCCCCCGTCACCAAAAGCATTGTGTGCGAACAACGCCGGGGACATATATACATATACATATACATATACATATACATATACATATACATACAATGTATCTTTAACAAATAGCAAACGCCGCACCCCCCACCTGCTACAGCCCAGGTCCTTCCACAGCAGCGCCAGGGGAGTGGTGCCTGGTCCGGGCCGGTAGTGACCGTGCCGATGAAGGAAGTAGAGTCCGTCGCGGACAAAGTCCAGCTCCGAATCCTCCGCCTCCTCATTCGCCGCCTGATTACGACCCGTTTCGCCTCCTACGCCCGTATATGCACCAGGCAGGCCGGCATTTGCGGGATCAACCCGTGGGCCGATCCCGTCGCACGCTGCCACCCCGGCGGCCGCAGGGGGTGGCGGCACCCTGCCGTACGCTGTGCGCAGGCCCTGCAGGGTGCACGGCCGTACGGGTAGCGGCACTATTCTGCAGTATAGCAATGTGCGGCGGAGGCGCGCGGATGGCAAAACGTACACGGGGCCAGAATGGGGGCATCAGGTATTTAGGTTTCCTTAGGGGTTAGCCTGGGTGCTACAGGTTGCTCGCCTCGCTACACAGGCTGCCACCGCCGACAACTTGCCCTAAGCAGTCGGCTACCGAAAGCCCCGCGGACAACAAAGAACCCCGCGGACTGCTCGGGAGAGCGGGGACTGTGGGCGGTGTTGTACACAACACCCTGCAGCCCTCCTCTTCAAAAACCTCTCACAGGCAATTCATCAGCCACGCGACGAAAAACGTTAGACGACGACTGCCGTACCTGTACGTCACTGGCACCTGCTGCTGCCCCCGCTGCGAGCCTGCCGCCCCATCCGCCCTGCCTTCGCCGCCGCAGCCACCACCGGCACCGCCCATATCCGTGTCCGCATCGCCAATCGGCGCAGTGGAGTTGGAGATAGCCGTAACGGCTACATCAGCGCCGCCCAGGCCCCCTACATTACCACCGCCGATGTCAGGGGTCTTCTCTCCTCGTGGCTGCATAAGGCCCTCCTCCTGAAATTTGCTGACCAGCCAGTAGTTACGGAACTCAGCCACGGTGTCGTACAACGCGTAGCCGCGCCAGCACAAGAGGTCCTTTATGTGTGGGCAGGGGTGTTGGGGAGCTTTATGTGTCTTGGGGGGGGGGATAGATACGCACGCGTACGACCCCGCGATGTGCATGTACGGTGCCCGTGGGGGCAGAAGGGCAGGGTTAGGGTCCCCTGGCCCAACCTCGGGTGAAGGAAATGCGGAGAGATACGTGGGCGGGCAAGTGACAAGGTAACAGAGAGGCGAGGACTATTAACTCGGGAAAGGGGGCTGACTTAAGACCTCCTTTAGGACCTCCTTTTCCCGCGGGAAAGGGTAAGCGGGAGGCCCCGCCGTAACGGAACGGTAGCAGTGGGCGCGGCACTTGCCGCAGCCGTAGCCAGGCCCTCTCTTCAATTGTTACAGCCCCTTCTCTTGCGAGACCTACGCGGGCGCCCCTCCGGCCCCTTCGCCCCCTCGTCCAGCCACCACTGCCACCACCGCCTTGGCGGCCCCCCCCCCCGGCAGCCGCCGTCCGCGGTCCGCGCCCACCTGCACGTAGTAAGTGCCGTTGGGCGGGTGGAAGATGCAATCCAGTATGCAGTAGTCGGCGGGGGAGGAGCAGGCGGAGGCGGTCGCTGAGCCGCCACTACCGGCGGCGGCACTGGCGGGGGAGCCGCCCGGGAGTTGCGAGTGGAAGCGGTGCAGCGGCGCACCGTTGCGCAACCAACTGACGGTGCGACCCCTGGAGCCGGGGGGTGGCCATCCGGGGGGGGCGGCCACCCGGGGGGGCGGCCGGGGGGGGCGGGCAGAAGAGTCGGGCAGGGCGGGCGGTAGGTGGTGCTAGGTGAGGATGGAGGAGGGCGGGTGGGTAGGTGGCTTCTTGGGTGTGGCCTGGAGAGGATGGAGATGAGCTGTTGCAAGCGGTCGTTGCCCCTTGCAACCCGTACGCCATCCTCCACCCGGTTATACTCTACTTCCCACCCACACCAAGGGGCTTCTGCGGTCGTCGCCCCTTATACTTTTGCCCCAACTGCCTCCCCCCCCAAAAAAAACCTCGTCTTTGCTCCGTATCCCCTTTCTTACCGGCTGGTCACCAGCAGGCACCTCATACCCTCGGGTCGCGGCATCACCAGCCTTATTGGAGAAGGGGGGGGAGGACAAAGGTGTGGTGCGGAGGAGTTGTTGGGGAGCGATTCATTCACACACATCTACCTCTTAATCGTGATGATAGGAAGCAATACAGTCCATGGGGTCCAAGATGCTTTTCCTCTCCTCGACAGAGGAAGCGCATTGCATAGAAGGAAGATCGAATGACATTGACACCATACGGCATGTACGGCCCGTAGGTGAACATGCGGGAGCCGGCGGCGATCGGTGGACCACCTCGCCGCCGGACCCGACCATTAGGCAGTATGAACGTGGACCTGCTGTGCCACACATACATACATACATACGGACAAGCCCACCTCCCAGGGCCTCCTTAATTCTTGGGTACACGGCAAACTGTGCTCCGTAATTGGCGGCATACATGTGTGGGATAGGCTTCTTGGCATCTGGTAATGGACGGCAAGCAGCAGTGCACCCTGCCGCAACGCTTCATGTGATGTTTCGGAACTGTTTGCGGTAACCAACTGCCCAACAAAGGCGTCTGAACGGCAACGACCGTTCCCCCCTTATTCCAACCCCAACCCCCCATAGGTTGAGGAATATTTGGGGAACCCCAGGTGTTCCTACCAATTGCTTGCCAAATCATTCGGAACGTCTGTCATCCATTCGGGCTGCATCAGCTCGTTACCATAGCGCTGACCGTAAGCACGTACTCCCCCAGCGCCTGCGGTTTGGCCCTTCTGCCGTCGCCAAGCCGAGCCGCGTGCGCTCCGCCCAGGGCCACCTCGTCCCCGCCCTCGCGCAAAGTTGTCGCTCGGCCCATAGGAGGTAGATGGAGCCATGTCCGCGTCCTCCGCCATGGAGGAATCCCGAGGCTCGAGGGTGATTTCGTCCAGACGATCGTCCACACGATCATCCACGATGGAAAGGCCATCTTCGGAAACGTCCTGTTGTGAAAGCCCAGCACTGACTATTTAGGCTTTGTAAGGGGAAGAGGTGTAAATGCATCCCCCGCGACTGCAGACGCAGACGGCTACGTCCATGAAGAACGTCGTTCAAATAATTATGTTGTCTTTATATTCATACCTTCCTATTTTCAGAAAAAAAACTCACCTGATTCTCCTTGTCGAGAGCTAGGGTTCGCGCGCGGTTAGAGCTATGTAGCCGAGCTGCCTTCTGGCGATCAAGCGCAGCACGTCTTCGTTTATCCTGGTAATTTTGATATGGATCTCCGATTCCCCGGAAGCTGTTTCGCTTCCCTGCAATAAAGCCAGCATGTGCCGACTTGTCCATTTCTTTGGTTAATTCCAAAGCCAAGGTCTGGCAATGTACGCTACAGCTGACGTGCGCAGTGTGCATAAACATGTGGATGAATTCACGAGAACACGATCACTGACAGCTCGTCCGCTGTTTCCTTCTTTCCGTACGCAAGTCTGTCAGCACTCAAGTACTCCACCATGCTATCTGGCCATAAAGAAATGAAGCCATCAACCATCTCAGAGATTTGTTACGTGCCCGCTGTCGCAAAACCGCGTCACCTAACAGACCAAGCGCGCGAGCCAGCCCACCCCCCAAACCTACCCGTCTACAGACACCACCAGACACCTAACAACTCTTGCCGCCGTACGGCCATCAAATTTCCACCGCTGTTCCTGCTCACTTCCCAGCTACACACGCCAAAATCTGCGCCACACCTCGCAACCCGCAATCCCCTTTTAGGAACGCCAGGAAGGCTGTGTGCACGCGGCCGCCTCCACGAACTCTCGTGGCGTAGAGCCATGTCCGCTTCGCGGGCTTCGCGGAGTATCCGAAGATGCCAAAGCAAATCCCCCGATGCCTTCCATATTTCCGTTTCCATCGTCCGGGTCAAATCATTGTAAAACTCAGTCATTGTTTCCACAGCTATTGTTGTGCATGTGCTACTGGGCAATACATGTGCATTTTTCCCGCATCCCCACACCACTCTTGTGGTCTCACGCAATGATGCCTGGCGGGATTGCCACGCATTAGGCATATCCGCATTGGGACTGGCGAGCCCGCTCCCAACTTGTCCATGCTCTCTACCCATGGGCCCCAGCGCATACCATCCGCAGCACCAGCAGCAATAGTGCAGCAACCCAATCAGTTCGCAGTGTGCAACATAACAGGATAACCGATGGCACTTGGCACTTCCTTATCCATGGCACTTGCTCGGAAACGACTGAGACGATGCTGATCACTTGCATTCATCTACAGAACCTCCGAAGGATGCCTGCCTCCGCTCAATAATACATATCTCTTTTCGTTCAGCAATGCATCATGACCCCTATCTGACACTAACCTACGCTACGGTACAAATGCCAGCACAGCACAGCATACCATTCCTGAACCGAGCACACCGCCAAAGTCCTGTGCAGAACAGCACAGCCTAGCCACGCCCATTCCAGCCTGGCTCCGTTCCCTGCTCCTCCCAATGCGCCTGCCCCCATGCGAATGCTGGACTTCTAGGCCCGCCGTTAACGATTAGAATTTCCAAAAGCGCCGGCAGTTTCATAGAGCCTCCCGATATGGCGCAATAGAATCTTGACAAGGAGACGCTTCCCTCGGCACCTCGCATACTCCACACATCCGCGTCGCTGGGCTAGCAAGTCCGACCTCGCAAGATTCTGAACTCGGCGGCCTCGGCCACGGCTTTTACGGAAGAGGCAAGCGAGCCATGGGCGGTGACCTCAGAGGTCATGCCGAAGGACCCGAGGCTGCCGACAGCATAAGCCCATGTACACTGCAGCCCCTTGGGCTACCTAGTAATGCGGACATAGTGCCAGATTTGGAGCGCCCACGCAGATAGCACCGCCGGGGGGTCCCAGCCTGCGGCGCAGGAAGTACGTGAAGTGCTCCTTGGGACACGTGTCCTCGTAGCCCTTGTGCATGGGGCTGATAAACATGGTGCAGAGGGGCGGCGGCGGGACGCCAGGGTTGTCTGCGCGAGGGAAAGTGGGGCAAGGCCGAAAGGCGATGGCGTTGGGGATTTCCGCATTCCCGCGAAAACAGTTGCCGACGGAATATTACTACTAACTTAAACCAAGGAGGCAGGAGACAGGAGTACATAATGTTGGGCTCGTGAATAAAAGAGATAAAAGAGACCCAGGGTATAGGAGAGATAGACACGAAGCAGGACATCAGAAGCCACTCTGCACAAACTGGTGTAAAAATATGCAAGCGTGATATGTGACTATTTGTCCCACGAATCTAGCCTGGGTAGAAAAGAGCTATAAGATCATGAACTTCACCGGAATATCGCTAGCTCCCTGACCCGAAATGATTTAGTACATGCAGAAAGGGAACGTGGTAAAGCTCGGTAAGAACATCCCTCGTCTTCGAGTACTGTTCGGTTGGCAACTAGAGGGGGCTTTGCCGGCGGCGCGAGTGCCGCTTGTTCAACATCCAACGACGGGATTTACAGTGACATCAGGGCCGTGTGCCTGTGTCGCTGTATACCCACGACACACACATATACGCACACACACACAGGTCAAGCGCTGCTCACTCGGAAATCATCCGATGGACCTTTCCAGGACTTCCCTAAGCTAAACAGCTAGGTAATCGCTAGGTAGCGCTTCGCACTCATCCCCTAGTTACACCCGGGCTAGGGTGCACCTCGTTTTCAAGCTATAGCCTGACTCAAGGGCGGCTCACAAGCTCACCTGGGCTGGCGGCAGCGACCCCTGGCGCAGCGCCACACCCCTCTGTACCAGCCTCTGCTGCTCACGCTCCCAACATTGATAATAATCGGCTGCCCTAGGCGATAGCCTGTACAATCCCCCTGCTGCTGCTGGTGCTGGCTGTTGCTCCTTTGCTCCGATAGCTGTACACCTCTCCCAGCTCCAAAACACACCGAGATGCTGTATTGGCCATAAAACTGAATGACCTACCCTGCGGCTGTATAAAACTGCTGAACTTACAGGCCTACAATTTCTGGGCTGCGCTTAGGCCAGCGCGCTGCCTCATGACAATTCACCCACTCTCGACCCCTTATATCGACCCTTCTCACGTGACCCTTTCTCCCGGTCTTTTGTACGCGGCCGCCTTCCTTTGCCAACTGGCTATTGAGCAATCCTCTTCCCTGGCTGCTCGGCCCGGTGAGCCGGCGCAGTGGCCACGGAAGTCTTGCGTCCCGATGCTTCACTGCTTTACTAGTCCGGCCCATGCGTGGTCAATGTTCCGGCTCGCCCCTGCTAAACTGCACAGCCTCAAGTGCAGCCAGCGGCAGCAAGCAGAACAAGCATAGCTGCGTTTCAACACCAACGACCGTTGCTGCGCTGTCCTGCGCTACCGCTTTGCTGTAAGCTAATCAAAAAGTGGACAGGAAGCCGTGTCTTGGGACAAGGCGCAGATTGCACCCCCAGGCGGGCCCAACTTCCGACGAAAGTAGTACACGGCTGCGGGGCAGGAGTCCTCAAAGCCACGAAGCTCCATCCCGGGGCCCGTGTACATGGTGCAGAGGGGTATGTGCTGCGCCGTGGGTCGGACTGCGGCCAGCGGAGCAGACAATCAGACCAAACATCACACAGGACAGAAAACCCGGGAGGAAAAGACGCCACTGGGCGGAAGGGGCATTGAACTATGCGGCAGCAACACCCACAGAGGGGTATGCTCCCATCTTAAGGAATGGATGCACAGATCGGCAATGCCTTGTCATGGAAAGGTAATGCCGTAATGACCAGAGATCAAAGAATATAAAGCCTGGTACGTATTTGCCTTTAGGTGTCCAGGAGCCATACCTATAAGAGCATCTGCGCACGAGAGCACAAAGCTATTACTTGCGTATGCATCAGTCAGTCAATCACTCAATCGCGTGCTGTTAGGTGCGTGTTTACTAGCCGCTTCGGTGGTTGCGAGCTCGTGTGTGCTCTACCAACGGCTTGAGCATTAACCCACATTCACTGCAAACCCAGCAACGGAAGTACGTAAGCCATATGTAGCTCGCAAGCGTGAATATGTGAAGTGCGGCTGCTGAGCAAAAATGTCCAAGCCGGCCGTGGTTTCGAAGAATGTGCATGCCCCTGTGCGAGGAATGTTTTTAACGCGACCGTCGCACAAGTCGTCGACGCAATGTGAGCGCGATATGCCTAGCCAGGCGTGGATAATGATACAAATGGGACGAATACCGAGCAGTCTGTTCCTGGTGCATTTACCTGTCACCTTATGCGCAAGCTGATGCAGGCAAGCCGCCGGATCCTAAGTACGATACGGTCTCACAGACCCAGACATACCACGGTGCCACACGAAGCCGCATCGGCGGGCGCTACGAGGCGCCCTGCTCTGCCTTCGAATACCCCTATTAGAGCCGTAGAGCCGCATCATGCAGGGTGAGCCGCCCCCCACTGTACCCGGACACACGCCGACTCTATGAGACATCATCCCTTGCAGCGAGCCGGCAGTATATAGATACTCACATGGCTTGCAATCAATGAAGTTTCGGAACTCTTCGTCTTCTTCGTAGTACTGCTGTGGTAGCAGGTCGGGCCGCTTACGGCGCATGCGCAGAATGGCCATGATAGTGTTGAAAGCGTCAAATTCGCCTGTACGGGGCAAACCCAAAGGGTAACAGCAGCCAAGCGGGCTTAAGGCTGGGTTGGCCACGGAGTCACCAAGAGCCCGAGCTGCCGCTCTCTTCGAGCTCCTTAGATGATCATGTGTCCGGGCCATGAGAATACGGGTGACAAAGAGTGTATTATATGTAGGATAATCGATTGGCCACACGAAAAAGCTAAGGCTGGGGGAACGCATACAGCATGGAAACACACACCACGTATGCAGCTTGCAAACGAAGCGCGAAGAGGAGGGGGACGCGAGGAACAACGAATGAACCCCTGCATTCCTGCTCTGTGCTATGCCTCTACTCCATCTCCCCTCGCCGCGAAATATCTGCACCGATCCTTCCCCCGGGTGTTGTCCGGATTTCTCTCGCAAATACACCGCGGATCAGCCAGTCAGTCAGTCAGTCAGTCAGTCAGTCAGTCAGTCAGTCACGCACCGGTCTCGCCCATGATGCCCCCCAGGTTGGTACTCCAATGCAGGTGCTGCGCCGCGCAGGCGGTGCGGATCTGCATCTGCCGTATCTGTTCCGGTGTGAAAGCCTCCAGCATGTCCCCGAGCTGCGGGATCTGAGCTTGCGAGACGCGCACCCCAAACCTGAAGTGGAGGGGCAGCCAAGGCAGGCAGCGCGGTAAGCAGTTAAGCAAAGGAAAGGGGCCAGCAGCAGTTGCAGTCGCCGCCGCCGCTGCAAATCAAACGACTGCAGATTTCCTTGCGGTTTTTTGCTACCCCGAAGAGCTGCAAACATAAAAGCAACGCGTGTGTGGCGAAGATAACGCAGGGACACACGCCTAAGAGAGAGCGCTCCAGGTCATACTTGAGTAGCTGCAGTACTGCGGGACACCGCAGACAGGGGGGACGCAGGCCAAGCGCAAAAAAAATAGCTACCGCAAACAGTGTGAAGGACGACACGGAGTCCAAAACTGCACACGCTCCCCCCTAAGCCTCCACATCCCACCCAAAATGGCGGCCCCCTACAACCCTACAACAAGGGGCCATTCCCTTTCCCTTCTACCTCCACCTCCAAAAAGCAAACCAGTCGCACCTGTTCCAATCCATTTCCGGCTCAAACGCCTCGTACAGCATGTCTGTAGCTGCCACAGGTATGCAGCCATACATAGTGGCTACGATACCGCGCTTGCCCCAGCCACCTCCGGCAGCCGCTAGACAGAAAATGCTTGACGCATAGTCCCGCGCGTAGTCATCCGTCCCAGGCACCACACGCCACCCCGGCCGCTTATGGTAGTGGTAGTAGACCTGGCGCGGCAAAACGAGGTAGGAAAGAGGGTCGTGTCAAGGCCGGGGTGGGGGTCCAGGTAGCGCCACTGAGCTCCGCTGGCTCTCGTGTCGCAAAGATAACTCCGGAACGGGGGACGCAGGTTGGTACACGGACATGGGAGTGACACCTCGGGCAGTGGGTTCAGCCAAGTGGGTCATCGCTCCAAATCCAATATGGGGGGCGCGGAGCCGTTCGAAACGAAACGCGGGGGAGCAGTGGGAACACGAGCCAACTATGGCACGCCATAGTCGGGTGCACGCACGCGACTTCATCTTCTCTTCTGAAGAACGTGGTTTGGTATGGCACACAGTTAAACTTGTGCCCTGGCTGATTAGACAATTTGCACAAACCCTAATTACAGGTGCCGCACATATGAGTGGGCGGGGTTCGGTTCAGCGCAGAGTGGCCCAGATACCTCCCCTTTCCAGCCAAACATCACATCACAACATCACACGCGCGCCCGACCCCCTTTCTGGCCATTTCTCTCACCGCTTGCCGCACTCCGCCGCTGTACCGCACTTGTTTGTAGTACGTGCAATGCGGCGGCAGCGCTCGTTTGTTGCCGCTGCCGCAGATCCCGCCCGCGAAGAAGAACGTGTTTGTCCGGTTGCGCTTTTGGTTGCGAGGGTGCAGCGGCGTCTCAATGACAAACCGGTCATGACTGGACATGGCCATAAACGGCACCACGATGTCCTAAGGGGCGGACGGGACAGCGGACATCAACACGACACGGAATATAGCGGTAAGGCGCCGTGTCGGGAACTAGCAAGGTAAGTGTGCTGTGTCCGCAACTAGCAACACGCCATCTCCCCTTGCACAACAACACAGCTATGACCAAAACACACATATTGCCTGCCCGGAGCCCCAGTGCCACAATTTGTGGGACCCAGAAACCCAGGAGGCAAGTCACGAGGTTAAAATCCCAAAGGCGAACATTCCAAGGGGCTCAGACCACACGCCTGACCCTTTTGCGTCGGAAGGCTGCAGCGCCCCTGCTGCTACTCACCCTGCCTGGCACCATGCATGGCACGCGATTGTGGAAGATCTGAGTCCAGTGCGGGTGGAAGTCGTACATGCCCCAGAACTGCAGCCAAGTGACGTTCGCAGTCATGTTACGGATCTTCATGGGCAGCTCACACGTGCCCACATCGCCTGCGAGGGCCGGGTTTCGGAGCAGAGCACCAGAGGGGGTTAACTCGACCCAATAAAGTGTCGTGACACGCAACCACGGCGGCCTTGGTCAAGGCAAGGGAGCAAATCGCCACAGCTGTCAAGCGAGGCATCGACTACCCGGGGGCATTGCGATTTTTTTAAGCGCGTACGCGCACCCAGCTGGGGTTTCTCCATGAGCAGGCTACACCCCAAGGAGGTAATGGCGTTCACGGACATAAGGAGGGTTCTGGGTGGGTTTAGCCTACAGGTTGGTATTTCTCACATAGAAGACCCGTACAGGGGGTAATGGCATTTCCCACACATGTCCTGTGCAGCAGAACCCCAATCCGGGCTACATCTCCTCCCAGGCCCTCCCAGGACATTGCCCATTGGGAGCACACATCTCGCGACGGTCTATGTGGGCACGTGAATCCTTACAGACGACACGGGCAAGAAAACATAGGAGTGTGGTTTCACAAAGCACGCTGACAACTTGCGCTGCTTCCTACTTCCTAGGAAGATGACCGGCAGTCCACAGTTATATACTGCAGTCCCCGGGTTATGGGCAAAGCAGACCCGGTCCTGTAAATGAGCTTCCTTCCTTCCCGCTGCGGCCACACACTCCTCACGCATGGCCGCCCGCTCCTCACGCCAGTGCCTAGGCCGACATGTAGCAGCAAGCGAAGGCTGCTTCTACAGACCACCCTTACTAGGTAGCCCATGAAAAGTCCCTAGACAACCATGCGTTCGTTCGCCGAATCAACGCCATGGCAGCACAGGAGATGTGGAGGCATGTGCTCACTTTCAGGTACAGAGGCTCTTTTGCCCCTCCACCCACTTAGCACCGCCGGGTAAAGCAAGGATAGCTCTGAGGTTTACCACGCAGGAGGCCGTGCAACATGTTTGTTGTAGCTCCTCGCCGTCGCTGTGCCATGTTGGGAACTTAGGGTTCTTTACTGTGCCGGCACAGCTTGAAACCCCCAACCTTTAGCCAAATCCAGGGTACGCAATGCCCCACATGGAGCGCCCTTATCCGCCTACATCGTAATCATAACCGCAGCCTACGCCACACAACAGCCGTTCCAGGACAGCATGTATGGGGGGCGCGCTCTGGCATCCATTTGGGTTGTGCTCTTTTCCTTACCTTCCGCTGGCATGATATGCCGTGCCCCGCCTGTCTGGTTCCAGATTGGCCACGCTTCGATGATGTAGTTCAGCAGCGGTTCTAGTAGGAAGGCCCGTTTTAAGTCACGTGCACTGGCGGGGATGTAAAAGAAGTCGGCCTTTTCAGGGTCTGCCGTCCGATGGCCTCCCGACAAAATGCGTTCCATTAGCGCCATGTGCAGGGGGGGCCGATCAACCTTGTGGATGTCACGTCTGCAGGTGATGGACATGCATCTCGGTTACCAACCATAACCCGCAACAGTGCTCCGCCGTGTCCGCTCACTTACTTGACATGGAAGTCTGGAGGTATTTCATACACGTATATCTTGGGTCCGCGCTTGTTCAAACGATAGTCCATACCCGCCAAGACCTCGGCCTCGCCTTGCTTATTGTATGACAGTGCGCAATCGACCCCAAAGAATCCTGCATGAGCAGAGGGGTGACTTAGGAAGCGCACTGACAGCCATTGGATGGTGTTCGAAAGACACTTACCCGGCTTGCAGTGACAAAAGCCTCCCTTACAATCCCCCCTTCCATTACAGGCGTTTACACAAAGCGTTGGATCACCATCTTTGCATGTGTTGATTGGGTTGTCGACGCCCACACGTTTGACGCAGAAGCCGCGATAGGCTATGGTGCATGAAGGGCCCGTGTAGTTCCATGGACAATCGCATCTGCGTATAATCAAAAGTAAATCCTGCTGCAAATTATGCTTCTTTGATGGTGACAGTTGCCGTCCTTACCTGCCGAGCTCCTCGTTGCAAGTTCCAAATTTATGGCAGCCCTCTGGACATGCTTTCCGACCGAATGCCGTTGGTGCAAGGAATGTGCCGCACAGAACAGCGAGAATGCAGACCGATGCCCAAGCCAGCGCGCCACGCATGGCTGAGGCCAAGTCTTAGCAGCTGTCCTCCGTTTATGTCATCAATCTATGAGGTTGTCAGATCAACACGGACATGGTCATATGCGAGGTCGCAAGCGGCAGCTACTCACTAAACCCCCAGCCGCAACAGCTTATGCTCGCCGTCGTGGTCGTTTGACCATAGCACCTCGCATCTTTACAGTACCTGAAGTATAATACCACAGATGTGACAATTCTCTCTTGTTACACAGAGCCACGGTAATATAGTACGGTAACGTCCAGCCAGCAATGGAGAGATAACTCGCACCGGATTATGTGCACCTTACAGCAAACAAGCAATAGGCCTTTGTTTTGGTTGCAGTTGCTAACACCTTCGTAGTCTCAATGAATTTTGCTAGGCTAAGCTAGTTAATAAGCATGTCCTATATCAACAGAAGGATGAATTCTCGCGAGTTAACCTTTTCTCATGGAAGGATACACGTCATATGAGAGTCATTTATCCCGTATAATTAGTTCGTGTCCGCCAGCCATCCGGTAGTTGTGCTTAACGGGCGGTTAGCCACTTCCACCTGCGCTTCACGTTTACATTTCCCATCTGACCAATAGTCTTAAGTTTAGTAGGTTTGGCATGATTGGCACTATTGCAAAAAACGACAATTTTCTATTGTCGCAGGAGGGTAGAGAAGCGTACTTATGCAACCTCGCTCGAACCATGACAACCATCCATTGCAAGTACATTTCACAGCTTGCAGATACCGAAAGCTTCACGTATTTATATCACAACGTCACTACACCTGGCTGTGCGGCTGAGCTGGGAAGACTTTGGCACCAGGCGCGGGACGGCATCAAAGGAAACGTCGTCGTCATCAGCCTAGGCCCATTTTCACCGCATAAAGCACACCCAATTATGGTTTGCCATCAACATCGCTCTTATAAATTGAATGCACATCACACAAAGCAGCCGTGCCCAGGGTCAGGGCATGAAGCCGACCGGGGATGTACACCCCGAACCACGTCCAGGCTACAGTCCAACTTCCCAACCCTGGCTAGCACCCCGTCCAGCCTCGGCCCTCAATCACCTCCACCTCTGTCTGGGCAATGCTACCCAATCCCACTGGTGCTCACTACGAGTCGGCGACTACTCAGTACGCTCGTAGCTCAGCAGTTGTGGATACGACGACCGGCCTCGGGGTGTTTCTAGCGGGAAAGGAGCCCGTCTTCAGCCCCTTGGGCCTCGCCACAGAGGGCGCCTGGGAGGCCCTTGCGGCAGCGGGGTTGTCAACGGGGGCTGGCCCGGAGGCGCTAAAACCAGGCAGCATGCCCCCCTCTCCGTTGACTGCTGTCTCCATGTTGCTGGTCACTAGCGGCACCGGCACCGCGGTGGGCGTAGAAGTAGTGATGGTGGGTGGCACGGGGTCGCCGCCAGTGACCCAAGGGTCGGTCATCCGAAGGATGACCTTGGTCCGCTTGCCGCGCTCTTGCGCATGCTCCAGCGCTTCTCGCCACTCGGTGATGTCGTACCTGTGCCGTACAGCCAGGGAGTAGACGAAGCCGCAGAGACAGAGAGTGAGCGGGCACGGGAGCAACTGCAACATCAGCTGCAGCAAATCATTAGTTTTTCATTGCAGGCCCGCTACCGGCCCAAACAACAAGCCCGACCCCGGTCAGCCTGGGTGTACCCAGCTGCGGCCCATACAGCACACTACTAGGACGATAACAGCTTTTCTTGCGAATCTATTTTGAACAGCCTTTGGGCCCCCTCATGGCTCGTGTGGGCCCCCGTTACACCGTTGGATGGTAACGCAACTCCAGCAGGAGGTGTAACACACGCAAACGTTATCGTATGCAGTTCTCACTCGGTAAACTCCACGCCCAGCATGCCCGCCGCCACCAGCTTGCCTAAAGCCTCCAGGGCCTCCGCCAGGCGCGCTGGACGGCCCGATATCCAGCGCCGCAGGTTGAAGCCTCGCACGTGCACATCCTTGAACACCCAGGACTGCCAAGGGAAGACCGGCGAACGGCCGCTCATGCAGCCGTACACCACCAGCTCACCGCCCTGCGCCGGGGAGGGGAGGGGACGAGGGGAGGAGGCGGTTTGTGGGTGTGAAAAGCAGGGGAATGTGGTGAAAATGCTGAAAGTCCACGGCATACGACATGGTTCCTTATAATTTGCGGGGCCCGGGAACGACTGCCTACTTTCCTAAGCAGGCAAGACGGCCCTTAGTCAAGACCTCCTTGATAATTCCCCTGGCTAATCTCTGTTTCGCCCATTTTGTGTGAAGGAACAGATGTAATCCAGGCTTGAGGCGGACGAGGTGGAGTGAGGACTACTGAGAGTGCGTGTGTGTGTGTGTGCGTGCGTGTCTGTGTGTGTGTGTCGCCTGTTCCGCAATCACATACCCAAATATCCAAGCTTCTTCCCCAGGCCTTTGGAGAGCACAAACACACACACATCGAAAGCGTCGTCGAGACTGTCAGGTAACCGTCGAGCAACAGCATGTTTTTGAGGATTCGCTCACACGGCGCACCTCGTTAAGTGTATCCATCAGGCGCAGGGCGGAATCGCCGCCCACAGCGTCCAGGGCCAGACGGGGCCGGGAGAAGAAGCGCAGCCGGTCCAGCTCCGCCTGCGGGTCCGGGGAAAAAGAAGGGAAAGGGGAGGAAGGGGGGACAGTAGAAATTGATGAGGGAAAATGTAAGGTAGGGAGGGAAAGGGGAGGGGAAGATGAAAGCATTAGCGGCTGGGCCAAAAGCTTAATTGTCTGGGTAGGATGTACTGAGGAAGGGAGAGGTGAGGGGAAGATGAAAGCATTAGCGGCTGGGCCAAAAGCTTAATTGTCTGGGTAGGATGTACTGAGGAAGGGAGGCTCGGGGGACTGGGTAAGCTTCACACAGCCCTTCTCAAACGCGCGCTGTAGGCGTCTTACGGCTGTATCTAGTGCACACTGCAACACGGAACAGCTGCTGGACAACTTGCTTTCGGTGAAATGTTGCGACATCTCTTTGTGTATATGTTCGTCTCGCGACTATATAATTAATGTACTGCAGTCGTAAAGCTGCAGTACGGCACAGGTCGTCTTTGGCCTTGCGATACCAAGCAAGGCCGCGGCCAGGGCAACAGGAAGTGATGGGGATGGATCGACGCAACTGAACGCTGAATTCTGATGTGCCAACCTATACAGGGCCCACCCGCAACGAGCCTTCGTCTGCCAGCACCTCCACCGCGCCCAGGCCACGAAGCCAGGCCGCCGTACGATCCCATTTGGCTTCATCGACGCCGTCGATATTGTTGTCGCCGCTGCCTTCGGCGCAGCTGATACCTCCTCCCTCCACACGGCCGCGGGTGCTGCTGCGGCCACGATGTACGACCGCTACTGCCCTCAGCCTCAGCAGCTTGGATAGCTGCAACACCGTCTGACCAACCGTACTGCTGGCGGCGTTCAGAATGACGGCATCGCCGGGCTGCCGTACATAGGCATACACATACACACACGGACCACACGGTTGGCACATAAACGGGGTTTGGGTACGTGGAGTTTCTCAGAGCTTTCTTCGAGAGATAAACATTATCAAAAAACGATGCAAAAAACGATGCAAAGAGAGACAAATGCAAGTACAAATGGCTTGTGCATCACTATCATCATCATCATCGTCATGCCGGTCCATGCGCCATGCAGCCCATGTGCCGAAACGGGGCATCATCTTGAAAAGTACGGTACCTTCAGTCCACCTTGCTCCAGCAGTTGGTACGCCACCACCAGCTCACGGCTCATGGACAGGTACTCCAGCGGCAATCCCCAGCCGTCCTGCGAAATATGGATGCCGTGGATATGGCGTGTGCCAAGGTCGTGTCCCTCAAGTGAGTAACAGTAGTAGTCGTACGACTCCTACTGTATGCTGATTGGCATCAACGGACCCCTATGATGCGGGGAATCCCCTCCCTCGGGGACTTCTTCCACCGCCAGTCCGTCTTGCGTTGGCGGTGTGAGACAAGACGGACGGACTGCGTGTGTGTGTAGCTGTGCGCATGCGGCAGATACGGCCAAGGCCCAGTCATCACAATCACCGTCATCGTCACCGTCATCGTCACCGTCATCGCCATTTCAGGTTGTACGGGTCCTTTGCAACGCAACGCACACATGCTTAAGCAGCAGTAACAGCAGGACCAGGGAATGAACACTCGCCAGCAGCGGACAACTTCACACACATCTACCTTGGGCAGTCGCAGCAGGTGGCGCTCCGGCCATACAGCAGCTGAGGTCCAGGTGCCCGCGAAGGGGCGCAGCGGCAACACCAAGTCACCCTCACACAGAGACTTGACACCGGGACCAACCTGAAGGTGAGGTGTGGAGGGGAGTGGCGGGGCCGGAGTGAGGCCGCTGTGTATGTACGGCGATGAGGGGTGCGGGGGAGGAGTGGGAGGGTTAGGAAACACGATTACGACTGTGCCAATGGACCAGATGCGAGCTGAGAGTTGTCGACTGGCGCTGGCGACAACAGAGATCGAGCAGTACGCGTGACGTCATGTATCCGTGTGCCGCCGCCGCACCTTCAGTACCACCCCCACGCCGTCGTGTCCGGCCACGTACGGCAGCTTAGGTGCCGTGTCGCTGCCGTACACGCCACCCAATCGGGCGGTGTACGTGTCCGCGGCGCTGATGGGGGCGTACCTGCCGTACAGATCGCAAGGGGCCAAACCCAGCCCCGGTGGGAAGGAGACTTGTCGCGGACGAAGGTTTCCGTAATGGATAGGAAAACATAATAGTTGAGTTAATGCCACCTGGTAAATAGGGGTTTGCAGGGAATCAGATTTTGCGCGTGCGGCGCCTGTGAGCTAGCATTTTAGTAAATCATCACATTGCAGTGTTACAGACCTGACAAAAGGGCTAATGTCCTGAACGTGCATTTGCATATTAACAGGAACACACACCCTGTCCCTCTTCGCACAGAGGTGGCTGCCCTTGGGGGCGGTCGTGAGCTAAGAAGGCGCTCGAGAAGAAGACTATTTGATTCTCACTTGCTCAGATAATTTTGATTATTATCGGAAGATCCCGGATATTTGTAATGTTACAGAGTGGAAGGCTTCTGGGCCGGGTATGGATTACCAGTGCGGACCGGGTATGGATTACCAGTGCGGACCGGGTATGCGTATGTATGGATTACCAGTGCGGACCGGGTATGCGTATGTATGGATTACCAGTGCGGACCGGGTATGCGTATGTATGGATTACCAGTGCCAAACCCTGCGCGCACACAGGCCAGCACACCCACTTGACGGCGACCAGCACCTGGCCCCATTCCAGCTCCGAAGCCAGCGGAACCGCCTCCAAAACCAAGCTGTCAGCCACTCGATCCCCCGGGCCGCGGCACAACACCTACGGACACGCGACTACCGGAGAGTTTAATACGTATGTTATCGTGCAATGTACTTCATCTTATATTTTATTTCATCGTCACCACGATCCCTACTTTTATGTATGGGGTGGATGGGGTTTCAGCTTATAACTCCCTAGGCACTTGCTGTTGCCCGAGGGGGCCCTGATTGGTCGCCCAGCTCCGGCGTGAGAGCACATAGCACGTACGCGCGTTCCATGAGAAGGTAAATGTATGGAATACGGTGCAACGCGCGCGGGTACTTTATAATTTTATGAAGGTTATAAGGTTACTTACTTGCAATACATCAGCCTTTGGCAGCAGTACGGGATCGTACGACTGCCGTGCAACGCCGTACTGCTCGGCCACTGTCTCCGCTGTGAATACGTTGCCGGCCCCATCGCCACGGGAACGCATCCATGCCTACAGGAGGCGGCGGTGGTTTAGAACGGCGAGTGAAGGAAAAAGGATTTTATCGGGTAATTTTATCGGTTCCGTAGCCACACCCGCAGCTGCAACCCCTATCACCACCACTGTCACTACCGCTGTCGCGGTCGTAGGTAAACCTTACAGTCATACAATCGCACGCGCTGGCGCTGGGATGAATGGAAAGCCCTTTGCATTCCGTGACCTGCTGTGACGCAAGTGCCCGAAGCCCACGCCGCAAGTGTGAACGAGTAATATGGATAAAATAATAATAATAACGACAACACAGGACCCTAGAGCTGCGGGTTTCCTACGCATGGTTTCCTGCACTGCCGGAACCCAAGCTCGCTGAATTAACGTAAAAATGCTGAAGAGGTTTCATGCATGGCCCCACTTGATCCGAGGTGCTGATCTCGCCTTCTTAAAGAAAAGGAAAGACCCTCACCCACCTCGAAGCCGGCAGTGTGGCTCTGCGCCTCTCCGGCGTTATGCCGTACAATGATCTGATCCGCCAAGCTACCACTGCTAACGCCAGCCCCACCACCGCCGCCGGCGGCTGCGGCGGCGGCAGCCAGGACAGGATCGTTGAAGGCACCGTTAGCGAACCGCTCGACGAACTCCTGGTCGGCAGTTTTTTGAATCCGTCCTGTCTGATCGTACAGCTTGCGCTGCCGTATCCGAGGAGCATGGTTCGTAACGTAAGCCCGGCGTTGCGTGTAGGAAGACAGGGGCAGCAGCACGACGCGTGTCAGCATGTCTGTACTTGCGAGACGGAAAAGGATCCAGGAATTCTGAGAAGTCGTGCGTTTAGGTCAGGAAAGCAATTGTCCTCACCATCGCCCAGAGCAGAAGCTTGCTTCCTGTGCTGGCGTGCGCAACCACATACGTACCTTCGTCGGCTCCGAAAGCACGTCGTACGCCGCCTGTATCCTTCGGAAGCGCTCAGGGTCCCCTCCCTTGTCAGGATGCGCTCTGGTCAGCAGGTTCCGGTAGGCTCGCCGAACCTGGTCAGTGGATAAGCGCGTATTTATTTCTGTTCTAGCAGGCGATAACAGGCCAGCGCTTTACTCGAGGAAGAGTGCATGGGAGCATGAAGGGAGGGGAGGAAAGATAGGGAGAGCCATAGGGCTGCTGCAGACAGAGATGGGGCCTAGGAGCCAGCCACCGTAGAGGGGAATAAAGGGGGAAAAAACTGGTCTTAACGCGCGCCAGGCCACCAAGGCGATGGAAACTGTGGGGAGAAACGTGTACTTTAGCCACTTAATATAGCCACGTAACTGCCTGAGCGAACCACATGACTGAGGCATGCGTACCAGTATAACAAAAATACGACATGGTGTACAACACTACACAGCCGCCGCCGTGAGGGAGACGGGCCCAGAAGCAAGGATCTTGATGTGTGTTACCAAATTGCGGCGCTTAGAAGGAGGAGTAGGCGAACCGATGGAAGCGTATGTATACGTATGTATACATGTAAGTATGTAAGTATGTACTGTACCTCAGTGTCGGTGGCGTCCCGCGAAAGACCAAGCTGAGCGTAGAGGTCGCTGCTGGTGTGGGCGGCGACGGCGACGGAGGCGGCCTCTGGAAAGGAGCGATTCGCGTCTTTCTTCCGCACCTCTATGGGGACATCCTCCGGAGGGGGTGCTGCCGACATGATGAGACCACGGCTGCTAGTGCTACTGCTCCCGGCCCTACTACTGCTGCTGCTGCAGCTGTAGCTATTGATCTAACAGTGCGGTATCGCAACAGCTGCCGTTACTGGCCTGCTGGCACTGTGGAGATACCGTGGGCAAGGCAGGTTACTGTCTCCTGTAGCAAGGTAGGGTCTTCTGCTACTCGGCAATAACCATTACCTGCTTCGCGATGCGATAAACAAAAACGGGCGGATAGTTGATGGCAAAGGTCTCGCAAGCGGGGTGTCCTAACAAATATGTCACTTCATAAATTGTCAAGATTTGGATATGATCATTGGTGCGGACGGGGAGTGCGTCCTGCTATATCAGGGGCATCAGAAGCCGTCGGTGCGTGTCGGTACTTCTGTTCCGAACGCATGCCGTCATCTTCTCTCGTTCCTAGAGCGGCGCCTAGGGGGGAATGACCGCGGCGGCTAGCTGGCGACGACTCCTGTTCCGTTGCCCAGTTCTTGGCAGGGCTCGGCGCGTCAACATTGCCTTCCATTCCAAATTTTGTTTCCTGAAAGGCATGTTATCTTAATTCCGTGCTGCTTTTGTGGTGTTTTAATTTTGTATTTGCTACGCCTTCCTCAGTTACCTTCACGCGTGCTAGTTGTATGCGTGCGAGTGCACACGCACAAGCACGCTATGTATACGCCCCATTATGCACCTTCCTCCCATGCTTTCATGATTGTGCACGGGGATTACGAGCAGTGGTTGTGGAGAGTATGTGAAGCGTAAAAGTGTGGAGCTTTTGTGGAAAATTTGTGACGCCAAAAAGTGTGGAGCTTTTGTGGAAAATGTGTGAAGCAAAAAGTGTGGAGCTTTTGTGGAAAAATGTGTGAAGCGAAAAAGTGTGGAGCTTTTGTGGAGAATGTGTGGAAAAGCGTCGGGAAAGCCCTCTTCAAAGGCAAAAGTGCGCGGAGCCAACACCCGCCTTAGGATAGTTTGGATGGAGTGGTGTATTTGACCGATCCTCGGGACATTGTTACAAAGCTATAAAGCGATTTCCGAGTGTAGTTTCGCGAGAAACTTGGACGGGCTCGGACGAACGGAGCCTCATACCGTAGACCGCTAAAACAGCTGCACGACTGCAAACGAAAATTGAAAATCAACAATACAAAAAAAGAACCAATAATATTATGCAACAAAGCACGTTCTGACCTCGGTTTTGCGGATCGACTACATTCGACACTTTTCGACTTCCAGAGCGAGAAAGCCAGAGGAAGTCCTGCCCGACATTCCCAGCTTTCACCACGTTGTAATATCATACACACCCGCTCTGTAATGTCGATATACAGCTTTTTACATAGGCTAGCTTATGACGTGCGCGGCGCAACCAAGCGCACGATATGTAATCAAGGGAAACAAGGCGCTCGGACCAACAGGAGCTTGATTTGCATGTAATTCATACCTGCCAGCATATAGCTGCAATGAATCTCAAGCCTCATTTCTGTGCAATCTATAGCAGGCGGCACAGCGCGTGTGTTGATTGACATCGCATGGTGCGTCAGACGATTGAGGTGCGTGTATGCGGGTATTTTCCGCCATACGCAAGCTGGATAGGTAAGTAGGGGATTTTGAACCCATAATAAATCCCGCACCTTGATATGTATTGTTACGTACCTTGACCACTTTCGCCGTATGCATGTGCCGAACTACGGACCTTGTCTCAAGCGCGACAAACCAAAACGACGACGCTCCATGATGAAGCAAGCTCTGTAGGCCTTGAACAAGTACCGTTTCCGCTCTTGTCTCCTTCTTCAGTCGGCAAGTAACGCAGTAAAGAGGATTAAGAACGGATTGCGGACGCAGCTAGCCGAGTAACTCCCCCCGCCAGCCACCGCCACCGATTTAGCATGCCTTTAATACTGCAACCGCCACACCACGCAGGCTCTGCCGCTGTTTCCATTGCATGTCAACACCCCCGGTCACACCAGCCTCTTGAAGCGGCTTATTTCTCTCCCTGTATCCCCCCTCCCGGCGCTACCACAACAAGAGCATCCTGACATCAACATGGATCGTCTGATCCACGCGTCGGCTGTATGCTGCGTCGTGCATTCGGGCCTATTTGGTGTACGGCATCAGGCGGTGTCCTCACACCGCGAGCTGGCAGTCCTAAGCGGACACCAGCCTAGCGTCGTCCAGCCTGATGCCGTACAGGGAGATACAGGGCACCGCGCAACGCAGTGCATAATTTTAAAAGGATGCACATTGTATGTTACAGCATTTAAGGCAGCAATAACAAGTTAGTAACTTGTAACTTGTAACTTGTATTTAAGGCAGCCATAACGAACTCCATTCATGGCTTATAGCTACCTCCTGTCCTCAGGACAATTATTCACCCGGGCCAATCCGGGCCCTACTGTGCATTCAGACTGAGCAGATTGAGCTCCCGCCCAGGCGCCTGCCTACCGCAGCTTCCCAATGCACAAGCGTACGGACTTGCGCCCATACGAACATACAGACATACACGGGGGCTCGTACAGACCCAGGCGGTTTCTAAGTATCGTGTGCCAAACTGGTGCATTATTCCACGGTCGTCTGTAGGTAGGTAAATCGTACCCCCTACACCTTTTCAAACCTTGGCACTGCCGTACGTACTGTCCTGGTCTACCCATGTTCACGGCAAACCGGCAGTTCGATGCAACCCAGGCGAACAACACCTCCCATCATGATAGACGCGGGCGGGCCGGACAGCCGCCGATACACATACGGCATGCGTGTGGCCCCAGCAGCTTCTGAATGGCTTCAGTATATCCGTCGACCGGCATGCATACATACATACGTGTATACACACGCACGCAAACACATCGCGAGTGCAACGTTAAGCATAGCCGAGGAGACGCCTACCAGTCATTTGTTGTTAGAAGGGAAGCGATCCTGTGTTCGCGACCACTATACCTAGAACCAGTGTTGCAGGACAAGCAGCTTTTGAACAGCGACATTGTGTACATGCACGTATCTGCGGCGGCGGACTGTAACAAAAGCAGGCATACAGGCAGCCCGGTGTTCAAGAGCCTGGCCTTGAAAACGAAAAGCCGGACATAGCACCGAGAAGGGGCAGCAGCAACAGCAGCAGCAGCAGCAGCAGCAGCAGCAGGAACTGCCGCTACTTCAACTGATACCGTTGCAGGGGAGAAAGGCCAAAAACCGGTTGAAAATTAGATGCGAGTAATGCGTAACAAAAAAGGTACATAGGCGGCGTCATACACCTCCAATTCCGCCCGATTACGACCCCAATTGCGACCCAGCTACTCGTCATGACTTAACGTGGGTGCCGGAAGAAAAGACATTGGTGTAAAAATTATCTGCATGTATTTAGGGCCTTGTAATAAATGCGGAAGAATAGAGGGAATAGGAACGTTAGAGCAGCAGCCAAACCGGCAATTGCTGCCTGCTGGTCCATGGCCAGCAGTGGCGACATCTGCGACCATCAGTGTAAGTGTGTGTGTGTGTGTGCGCACGTGTATGTGTTTTTTTTGTGTGTATGTGTATGTGTGCGTGTGCGTGTATGTCCTGTCTAATGCTGCGCTTACCCCCCATCCTCCTCATCATCGTCCCAAGTTAAACACACAGGGCAGGTACATGCAAAATGTAATTTAGGGTAAGGTAGCGGCGGTGCCGTGCAGCGGTCCTCATGCCAAATAGGACGGCAGTCGTTATCCAAGGAAACTTTGCAGCATGTTGGATACATACATACGTGTATGGTAAGTGAATACCCACCGCACCACAGCATTTGCCCGACCACATTGGACAAACGCCTTGGTGTACATAGGAAAGGTGCTACATATGACCGCTTGGTGCGACTAGTTTATTTGATGAAATCCCTCCACGTCCGCAGCTGCTCCTGACTAGAGAGCTGCATTGAAAAAAGGGAGACGGCACCGCGTCGCCCGTCAACCATGCATCGGGTCGTGGCGATCCTCATCTCGACGGCCATCCACACGAGATTCACGAGGTAAACAGGGGTCAGTCAGTTCAGGTGCACATTAGCACGCAGATCATTGGTATCAACGCAGGCGACCCACACGCAACCACGCAATTTATGCGAGCAACACATGCACAGCCTTAAATACAGCCAAGGCTTACATGCTTGAACACGTGCACGCGTGTGTGCGTTTTGTGAGCGCGATGTCTCCCTGTCCATCTTCAACATGTATGCATGTCTCTCTCGCAATCTCAACCTCGTCGTGCGTCACCCGGCCTGGCCTAAAACAGCGTTGTTACGGTATTGGCCTTTCCAAGATCATGCATCTGTCGCCTTCTCAAGATATCTAAAAAAGAAATGCACCCCTGCGATTACGAAAAATGCACACGCGAATACACCCCATACACATGCCCCCATCCTGGTCACTTGTCGTGTCATTTTAATTCACATGCCCTGTAAAGATAAGCCCAAGCAGGTCATCGGCAACTTTGCGTGAACGTTTCTTTTCATACACAAATAAAAAAACTGGGACAGACAGTCAAACAATCTACCTAACTCGCTGACAATCTACCTAATAACTCTCTGGGGCCTGTATCCTGATCGAGCAACGTAAGTTAGACGGATGCGTCGGATATGGCCTGGCACCGCAGTTCCGCAGTTGGACTTGGGCTGGATTTCTGGACGGCTTGATGGCTGGATGAGTAGATTGGCTGGCGAAGCCGGGTTGCGGCCCTATCCGCAAACCCGCCGTGAGATGAAGCATGGTACTCAGCCAGGCCAGGTGCGGATGCATGATGAAGCGTCCACGCCCGGAAAAGCCCCCGAGGCCTTTAATAATTGCTTCTTGGTATGCCTAAGGAAAACATGCAAGGAATCCAAAAATCAGATGAATGAGGACAGTATATCTCGCCGCTGTGTCGGCTCTACTGGTGGTAGTGCTGCCATCGTAGCCACCGTTAAGAGGCGCCGGCGCTAGCAAATTGGAGAAGCGTTTTCACGACATCTCAGCCGCCACGCTTGCCGCCAGAGCTGCATTGAAAGGTGTAGACGCAGGGATAATGTCCTGCAGTACGACAAGCTGTGGGCCTGATGTGGTGTTGGAGGGCAAGCGGAGAACCTCATGCGGAATGTGCATGAGTGCTGCCTTCGCGGCCAAGTACGCCGCAAATTCTGCTGTGTCGTACAGCAGTAACGGTTCCACGAAGACGACGCGAGAGAAGGAATGAACGTCCGCGAGAAAGCGACTGAGCTCAACGTACACGGCCACGGCCGTCTCACATCGTGCTGTGAGACGCTCTGCAAGGCTCTGCGTTTAAATGCGTTTGTAAGGGGACACAGGATTCATTCGCGAGAAACGCAGCAAAGAAAGTTTATCAGGTCCTATGCGTCCGGCTCCAGATTTCCAGTATGTTCCGTTCTCGCCCCCACCGCATAAGATCATTGTGGACAGCCAACAGCCCAAGGGAATAAACATTGAATCCATCCAGAGAGATGGGGGGGGAGGAGAGAGAGAGAGAGGAATTTTCCTGTAGAGGAGAAAACCATCGGTTATTAGCGGCCGTTGGACTCGTGATAGCGTCCCCACGGTTTTTTGCAGTGTGTCTTTCTCCTGGGCGGAAAGCACAACAATCCTTTTCGTCGAAAAAACATATCAGCGAACGGCTGCAAGCAGGAGAACGCAATCCTTATTGCACACATACGCTCTTGTTGCGCCGTACAGTCCGTCAATTATGGCTGTAGTACAGTCAGGTGATACATGCGCATCAATATACATAATAGCCAGGAGGCATTAACGCAAGAGAAAGGGGAGGACGCACGCCTGTTGTTGGCGGCTTGACTTAACATCGACTGATTTAACGCAGAGGGATGAAGGACCTAACAGACCTCGTACCTCAATGAAATCGTGGAGCGGGTCGGTGCGCGCCCAGCCCCACTGCGGTGATACATACACACATACATACATAGTTACACGCGTGAAGGCCACGTAGGAAGGGGCTCAAAGAAGAAGCATAACCACTGTGTGTGACCAGTGCATAAAAAATAATTCGTGATTATCAACACGAATCATTAGCGGCCGTTACGACAGGACTTCAGGCGGCTCCTGGCCCAGACGACCGAGGCAGCCTTCCGGCACCTCCACCGCGGGGTAGTGTACGCGTAGTGGTGGAGCTGACCCCCTTGGGTTTAGAATCCAGAACGGTTTAGACCTCTGCAACTCCCCGCACACAGCTCCCCCATCATCTCCTCTACCTCCACTCGCTCCAATGCAGCGCAACCCGCAATTCTTGTTGCCTTACTCCCTCCCTCCGGTGGCTTTGCAACACAGCGCAGCTAGTTCAAGTTGCTTTCGGAACCTTTCCCACTCCAGTTTGACCTCAAACCCACCTGTAGGCCATGGAACGCTGAGCACGACTCCAGATGGACAAACACTCCTACAAGCTCGCTCGCGCTGCAATTAGGTACGGAGTTGAGCGCCCTGCTTAGACTCTCGTTTGCACCGAGCCTCGTCAGCCAGTGTGAGATGCCCAGCGCGCCGGCGCCCGCTGCCAGCGCGTTTCGAAACCCTGACTCCAGCAAGGAGTAATTCGCGACACGTTCCATCGCGGCCTCAAATTGTACGGGCTTGCCATACGACCTGGCTGCGGAGGTGTACAGCTGAAGCGTTGAGGGCTTCGTGCTGCTGCCGTACGGCGTGACGAAGTTGGTTTCCACGACAAGGAAGGAGGTGAAGGGAGAGGAGGCGATGTATCTGAACATGGATGCTCCGTAGATGGCGTCCATCACAGAGAAGAACTACGGAGGATGAGGGTGAGGATGAGGGTGAGGATGAGGATGAGGATGAGGATGAGGATGAGGATGAGGATGAGGATGAGGATGAGGATGAGGATGAGGATGAGGATGAGGATGAGGATGAGGATGAGGATGAGGATGAGGATGAGGATGAGGATGAGGGTGAGGATGAGGGTGAGGATGAGGATGAGGATGAGGGTGAGGGTGAGGATGAGGATGAGGATGAGGATGAGGATGAGGATGAGGATGAGGATGAGGATGAGGATGAGGATGAGGATGAGGATGAGGGTGAGGATGAGGATGAGGGTGAGGATGAGGATGAGGGTGAGGATGAGGGTGAGGATGCCGATGAGGATGAGGATGAGGATGAGGGTGAGGATGAGGGTGAGGATGAGGATGAGGATGAGA